ATCTCCGCCGGCGCGGAACTTCATCTGCCTGTGCGTAGGCGCTCGCCTACGCGTAGGCGAATTCCGTCCGCGCTGCTGCGCTGGCGCAGAAGGCGTTGACCGCGGTCAACAGGCTCCGTCCAATCTGTCCATTTCTCGCCTCTCCGTCGGCGCTCTTGTCGCCGTAACTCCGTCCGACCGAAGACGCACTCATCCGTTCCGTCCGTACGGTCCGTACGGATTTTTACCACTCCGGTGGGTCCTCGCCCGTCCGCGCTGCTGCGCTGGCGCGGAAGGCGCCGTGCAATTTCTAACCCCGAAGGCGCATTTCTAGGGCCGAAGGCGGATTTCCCGCCGACGCCGAAGCGCCTGTGCGTAGGCGGACTTCGCTCGTCCGCCTGGGCAGAGGTTTCCTCGCCTACGAGTAGGCGACATTTGCGGCGGACGTCGCGCCGACGTCAAACCCTATTTTGCCTACGCGTAGGCGAACTGCCTTCGTCCGCGCATAGGACAAACTTTCCTCGCCTACTCGTAGGCGAGAAGCTGAGTATCTTGCGACCTTCATAACTCCCGGAGTCCTCATCCGTTCGTGGCGTTCTTGGGCTCGTTAGAATCAGCGCGTCGAGCTCTTTCCAACAAGACCCTAACCAAGTCGAGGTGTTCGGGAATTGACCAATGTTCTGAAGGATTCCTCTAGCGCCGAAGGGGTTATTCCTTCAGAGCCCGTATGTAGGGTGGTGTCCGTCGCTCCTGCGTTGCACCCAACTCCTGGATTCTACGAGTTCTCTCGAGAATCTCTGCGATCTTCCAATTTCACTCTATTTTGATGCACCGAAGGCTATTTACACTGCTGCCGTGGTACAGTTTTCCAAAAATGTTTTAATTTCTTCAAAAATACCAAAAGTGGGGTACCACAAAAATTTTTACTCCAATTTTCATTCTTCATTTTTTATTTGATAAAAATTTTATTAGATGATTAAAATTTTATCATAAAATATTTCTCCTAACATTAAAACTCTTGTGTGATATTTTGATTAAATCTCACTCCAATACACCTCAAATGGCTTTTTGATAAATCACCATGATCATAGAAGATTGAAATCCATCATCATGTCATAGTGTAAATCTTTAACACAATTAGTCATTCATTTAAAGATACTTTTCACTTTTATATTGATGAAATAATTCCTTACAAAAATAAGATTTTCAAAATTATTCAAAAAACTTCTATATTTTTATTTATAATATTTTTATAATTAAATTGAAATTTTATGATAATTATTATCTAATTAATTTTCAACTATCAAGATTAATCTACACATTTTTCCAAGATTAAATTTGATAGATTTGATCAATTCATGATATATATTGATGAAAATTGTGATTGATGTACCCAAATCCTTTAGAAGCTTTTTTGGTCTCTTAGTAACGATGTTAGCATGTCACTTAAGAATTGGAAACTTCCTTTTGGAAGTTTTAAATTCTTAACTTACCACTCAATCAAACTTTGAACTTAATGTAATCTATGAAATTTTTACTATATTGCTAAACCATTAAAAATTAACGTGTAAATTAAATTCTCTTTTTATTGAAATTTTAACTTTTATAGAAAAAAAAATCCATAACTTATCAATAGTGCTAATCCATAATGTTTAGAATAATTCTTATTAATCTGCCATGTATAAATTTGATTGCTTAAATTTAATTATAGCTAGCTAAATTTAGTCGTGATCAAACTTACTATAAGTAACTTTTTAGTTCAATTTGAAACTAATTCACTCATACAATTATGTATCTTAAAGCCAACTAGTGTCAAAATTTTGCAAAAAATTGAAAGTTTTCTATTTGATTATTTTCACATAAACTTTACTAAGTTTTTATTGCCAAATCTTTCACGAGATTTTCCAACTATCAAATATAAACATAATGTTATCTTTCATATGTAAACATAACATAATTTTTCATACACTTATTTTGAAATATCTCTACAACCCTCAGTTTAATAAATAAAAAACTTCAAAAAAGTATTATGTATAATTTGAATTTGATTTCAAATTTTTTATTTGAAAAAAATTAAATTTATGATAAAATTACAACTACTTATTAAATTATGATAAAAAAATTAATCTTGCAATTTAAATTGTAAATATTAAATCTAAACCATCATCTTGCATTCAAACAATCTAAATTAACATCATATTTTAATCTGAAAAAAATTTCAAGTTGTACATATTTTTTAAAACTATAGAAAAAAATCACTCAAAGATGAAACACAAACTTTTATGCATAATGTTTATGTTGATTTATGAATTTGTGTCAAATAGCACACAATTTGATATAATATATTTCAATAATTATGTTATTGTACTAACATAAATAGCAGTATTATGTCAAAATTATAGCACACAATTTATGAAATTAATAATTTCACAACATATACAAATGATGACATCTGAATGTCTATGTTCATTTCACTAAGACGTATGGCAATGTGGATATATTCAACAAGCAAATGGGTTGTTGATATGTAATTTTTAACTAACAAAACGCATTAACTATTTTATTTTGACATGTATTACTATTTATGTCAAATTTATGTGCTAAAATTGCTAAAAATGAATTATTAATTATATTTTTAAAGTTTTCATAAAAAAATATTCCAAATATAATTATGAAAATTTGCAATATTGGCAAATTCAAATTCATAGTATCTATTAGAATGAATATAAACTTTTAAGTTTCAAACAAAAAACAATAAAAAAGATTTTGAAATTTCAAAAGTTTATCATTTGATGCATCATATTAATTCAAAAGATATAGAATAATCATAGTGAAAAGAAGATTCAATATAGAATCATATATTGATCACAAAGTATTAGACAGTAACTAATTTAAAAGTTTAATGTGTTTTTTATTGATAACTTCATTTCACTTTTATTTCAACCCAATAATTTTAAGCTCTAAAGCAAACTCTATGCAATATACATTATGCAGACTTTGGTGCATTTTCAATATAAAGATTGAAGCTCATTCAAATTCTATTGAGATTAAAATACTTGGATTTTGTCATTAAAATCTGATATTGCGGAATTAAATAAATTATCAAGCATACTATTGAGATTCAATCACTTGATTTTCGCCACTAAGATGTAATTTTCTTGAACTTTATCACGCTTCACATCTCAAAAGTTTAGAATATAGCACTTGTCATCATCTTTTACTATTGTTCATGTCATAACACTGACAAAAGCTTCAACCTGTGATTCATCATTGGATACCGAGAATGTACTAATTTGTAATCATCTTTCATAATTTAGTGTTAAAAGAGAGCTTATATATAATGAACATAGAACTGAATTATTGTAGATTTTTATTGTTGCCATGTCAGCAATTTCATAATAAATATTAGATGAATTTACATTATAAATTAATTGCTTTAGTTTGATTCAACATGTTTGTACAAATAAAGTAATTCATTGATAAAAACGGTGTAGACTGAAATTCTTGTGAGAATAGATGATACAAAGTTTATTATAAAATAATATTTATCATTTGTGATTATTAATTTAGAATTTGAATAGGCGTCATACTTACATTGTTTTAATGAGATTGAATGAAAACATTGGGACATTTTGTGACATGATAATATGAATGGATGATAATCATGACTGATTATCATCCACTTATGCAAGAAATTATGGAATCTATTGACCACAACAACATCAACATGCAGTTAAGCAACGTTTCGACGAAGTACCCCCACCGAGTAGCGTCCCGACGAGCTCTTGTGGCTCCGACAGTAGCCATAGTACGTGATCGGAGTAAAATAGTACAACCTGACAAACCTATGTCGGGTTGAGTTGGGGTGTTGACCTACCCATAACTCTAGTTAGAATTTCAGTCTTGGCTGTTGTAAAGTACATATACAATGTTACTATGTATTAATCTTCATGGAATACAATTCAATCGTTTGTACTTGTAACTTTGTGGAGTTTGTACTTGTAACTTTGTGGAGTTAGACGTACATGTCACGAAGGTTTGGGTTCATTTTTGCACTAGCTAATATGAAGATGTAATCTACAGAATTTGCTCAGATAATATGTTGTAATAGAAGAACAAAAATTTAATATTATTCACTTAATGGTAAGTACATAATACCATTGTATATATGTAATCTACAGCAATAGCGTTAGTTTAGGATTACAAGACTGAAATTCTAATTAGTGTTAACACATCCAAGAGTTATGGACACCATCGGAGCAGCCACACGTGGTTCCCGTTCATCGTACACACCGTTGTCATCATACTCAAACTTTTGCCCTTCCACAAGATAAATTACTTCGTACTTGGCTGCCAAGCACCAGATGATCTGTACGTTCGTGCGTCTATTTGTTGTAGCACTTGTCTCTCTCTTGTTGTAAGGAAGTGAGCACATCAGACACCGAGAGCATGGGCTCCGCCTCCTTCTCTCGGAAATAGAAGAGCGTTTTTCCTGACCAGTCTGGATACTTGGGTTCGATTCTCGAATCCACAAGATCGTAGAAACAAAGGCTATGACCTAAATTATCACGATATCCAACCAAAAGGACCTGACTTTTGTGCTCCATACATCTGAAAATACAGCTGTGCCCGGGTTCTCTTTCAAAGTGCACATAATTCCAAACGTCAAGCTTCACATCGTAAATATACAGCAAGTTCAGAGCATGTTCTTCCTCTTGACTCACCATCCCATGAAACCTTCCCTCTTTCGTCACGCATGGAATCCTGTATTGATCGAAAACCGAGGAAACCTGAATGTGTCTATTCGACCTCATTAAAGATGAGGGCAATTTCCTACAGATCCGCCATGAGCGAAATTTTGGAGTCGTATACGTAAGTTTCCCCTCCATCGGACATGATACGAGGATCCAAAATTTAGTGCCCTGTTTCGAAATCTACATCGATTCAACACAGATGTCCTAAATCAGGGAGGTTGTGGATGAATGGATCCACATGAGTGGATGCCACTGTGGATACACAAGTTTCATCAAACTTGTGTCTCCACAGTGGCATCCAGTCGATCCGCTCACCAGTTCAAATTTGAGAACCCGTGCAAAAAGACCTGCTTGGCATCCCCGAGGATTTGTGTACAGGAGATCGGTTTGTAAAGACCGTCAAATTTTCAACAGTTTCTGTGCACGGGCGCCAGCAATTACTCCGGTGCTCATTCTTCGGGGCGGGCTTAACCGCCTGTGGCAGCTCTGGCTCCAAAGACCCTGCCTGATCAGATGCCTGGCATCAAGATGAACACGATTTATGAGTTATCACGTTCATACCGGAAAGCCTGAAAGATTCGATACCATTATATTCCCACCGACAATGTATTCCGTCTCATCCCGAAACGTAATCCTTACTTCGAAAGCAAAATTGGAGACTCTAGGGATGGTCCAGGGAGAGTGCGGACAAGTGGTGCAACGTGCTTTTGACGCAGGGCTGGAAATCGTACCGATTTTTGTAGTCCTCAAGGTAACTGGAAGCTACCTGCCGACCGACCGCTCGTTGCATTTTCTTACTTTGTCGTGGTGACCATGTTTCGGTCTGTGACTGTGACTCGGGCCCAATCCACAGCCCGTTACAAGCTCCTTGGTCTGTCTCCATGCACCGTGACGGAAGTGCGACTGACCTCCTCGTGCAATCTCGCCTTATGGAAAGTGCGGCTCGGTGTTCGTCCTCAAGGTAGTCCTTAAGGACGGCCTTAAGGGCTGGGGTTTTCTTCAGATGCAGGGTGCAGAGATTCAGAGGAGCGAGCACGATGATTCCAGTTCCGATCGTGGAGTTTTTTTTTGAACGAGTATGTTCAGAGTCCGCTCGAATTATCAACCATCCGAAGCTGAGCTCGATGAGCCTGCAGAAGGCGGTGGAGGATTTGGATCAGGATTCGTTCATCTTGAAGGTTCCTCACATTCCATTCATTGACGTGAAGAACTGGGACAGGGAGAAATCTCACCGTACATCCATGTACTGGGCTCATTTGTCAACCCTGTGGCTGACCATGACCAAAGTTCAATGTTCTTTTCGACCTCAAAAAAGTACAGCAGTACTTGATGAAGAGATTCATTCTTCTCGAGTAAAGGATAAGTCATCGGCTGGCCAAGGAGGCTCAGTGTCAAAAGCATCAATGTTTTTGTCAAAATGGCCGACCTGGCCACCATCTCCGACTATGACAACCGCGAGCAGCGGAAGGATGAGGTAATTGACAGATTGCAACTATATCTCTACCTTCGAGACCTGCTGATTCCATGGTACAGGACTAGAGCCGAGAAGGCTATGGTAGATAGCCTCATGGCTTCAGGAGCGCTGGAATTCTGGACGCAGATGGCTCCAGTGGCCAGATTCGTCGTCGCCTCCATAGCTAGAGAGTCCAGTATTTAGAAAGCTTGTACTAGTCGTTCAAAGTCGATGAGCACAGGCGCCTCAATAGATACTGAAGGAGGCGAAACCCTCTAATCCTCTACGATCTGAGGACAGCAACTACTACCGTTCTGACCATGAACGAGAATCCCCTGTTTCACGATCGATCCCCTGCCACCTTTTAAAACGGTTCTTGAGGTTACTTGTAAAATCTTCTATTTATGCGGTTGTCACCCTCAAATGATAGAGTCGCAAAAAGCCCATGAAGGCAGTAACTGAAGCCGTAGACATACAGAAGGAGAACATCAAATGTATTTGTAATATCTTATGATACTAATCTGCCCCAAGTCTACTTTGGTGTAATTGCATCCTGAATATTCCCCATCATGCTGTCTTGTATAGTAACTTACAGCCGATACATCAGCAACCTTGATCCTTGAGTCCAATCTTTGAAAGCTTTACCTGTGCAGGAATAGGGTCTTCCTCAGGCAAATCTCGGGCATCTTCATGATATCTTCAATGTACTCCTAGTAGCCTTTACCCATCAAAAAGTTGGTCATTCTGAACTTCCAAACACGAAAGTGGTTCATATCCAACTTCTCATTCATAACGTCGTTAACGCCATCATTGTTAGCCAATTCTGGGAATATTTAGGAACCGGCAATTGTACCCTAAACCCTAAATTATGTATTCAGCCGCAAAATCAATAGATCTGGCTCACTGGCAACTGAAGTTGTGTTTATCCAACAGTTTCAACCTACAGATGTCTACTGACAGCAAGGATTCCAAATTATCATTTTCTCAGCAGCAATTTTCGTCTCAAGAGGTTAACTACCGCTGCTTGGAAATTTCCTCCCAAACGATCTGGACGAGGACCAGGTTGCATTCCATGTAGAAGCTGAAGATATGACAAGTCCCGAGCTTCACTAGATTTGAAGCAGGCTCACAAATCAAACAACGATTATTCATAAGTTGTGTTATGAAGATCTCTACAACAATCGATCGAATTATTATCGGTCCTACAACACAAAGTCGAGCATCCTCACAGAATACTTCATATCTATAAAACACGGCTATAAAAGTCTCAAGCTTCCAATTTATTCCCTCCTTTAAAAGGAACACATATCCAGTAGGTCCGATGATCTGCTAAACATCATGGCAAAAATAATGGCATCTGGAGAAACATCACTTTCTATTTGAATAATTTCCTATCTATAATGTACGTGGAATGTAGATATTCGATAAAATTACGATCCAGTAATCTTTAATAGTTGACTCAAGAAAGTGCTCTTCTTATCGCTGTGAGTGTTTGCCATGTTGTTTCTCGTTGTTCTCATTGTGGATTCTCTTCCATGATCTTAACCAAGGCGGCGACAACGCCTGATCAACATTCGGACTAACGAGCACACCATAATTGCTCTTCCTCGTAATCATAGAGGTGAGGGAGAAACATATACTGAGAAAGTGACCAAAAACCAAAAAAGAGATAGCATCAAAACTGCCCAAGTGAAGTAAGAACCAAAATGCCGAAGAACCAAAATTTCCAAAATGAGAAATACGTAAAATGCAAAAAAATCAGAACTCCGGTTGTGAACGCGAGTTGAACGGAATCATATCATCAATTCAAGAACATGTAAAACTGGATGACAAGATTATAAACGAAATGGAATAAGCTACATACGAGCTGAAAAACTAGAGAAGTAGATGATTCTATATTTTTTATTATGTTTTGAAATTCGAAGGACAAATAAGGTATAGTAAAGTGTTCTAAGTGACTTTAGATAATAAAGTTTAAAATCTTGATTTTCTAAAGAAAAGAAATTTCAACTTAGTTGGATTAAGTCTAATGCATGATGGTAGCTAGAAATGATTTACTTAATCAGAGTTGCAAGATTGCATTGATTATCAAATCCTGAGTATTGCATAATAGCTAATACTTTTGCTGAACAATTATCGAATACGAATATAAAAACGAATGTCTAACTATAGTACTATACTTAATCTGAGTGAAATTGAACCAAATATCAAATCAAGAATATGTGTTAACATTCAACTTTCATTTTAAATTTTTTTAAGGGATGAAAAACTTTTTCGAAAAACCAAAGTGTAACAGATTTAGTATGGGGAGTATCGAGAATCAAGTATTAGCACATAGCATCTGACCTGCACCTGATTCAAGAAGTGTTAATGGATTTAAGTTTGATTTAAGTTTGATAAGGTAAGTTTAGGTTTAAGATTGTTAAAAATGACAATTTAAGAAGATTAGACTAAAATTTGACAAATGTAGTTGGCAGTTACATTTCACGAGGTTGCAATCTTGTATACGGGCTCAATAAGTCTTCTGATGCAAACAAGGTATTACTAATTAGGTTTAGCGTTAGGTTCTACCAGTTGAATTACAAGTTTAAGGCATAAATAACGGAAACACGAATTGAAGTTTGACTGTGTCTCTCACTTGAACAACAGACAATTTGGAAAACTGTCAGTTGTTCAAGTTGTAGTGTCTTGCTGGGAGATGTTATTACTTTTGCACTTAATTGTGCAATCAAAAGAAGACGCAAAAGTAAATTGGCTCCAGAGCACATCCTAGGGACGCATTGGACGTTATTCTATGAGTGATATCTTGAATTTGAGCACCAACGAGGATGAAAAGAGGTGGAGGCAAGAGTTGATGTGTTTGCTATAATCGCTCAAGCCTCAAGTCATTATCACTAGCATCCGTTTGGCTCTTTGAAGTTGTCATGTGTATAGTTGTGAACCTTTGTCATATTGCACATTGCACATATATATATTCCTTCAACGGAAATCAATAATGTCACTACAACAGAGTGTTTCCGGTATAAAATATTTGCACCGCTGAAATACATACCTCCGCAGCAATGTACCCAACTGCGATGAGACAATTAGTGGGACTATCGAACTCTGATATCCTGGCTTTTTACAATCAAAAGATTAGAGGGATGCTTAGATATTACTCCTTTGCAGGTAGTAGAGGAAATCTGCAAAAAGTGATATGGTTAATAGTTAAGTCATGCGCTCTAACCAAAATGAAAATACAATAAGGAAAGAAAAGATATCGGCCATCCTGTTGGTAGGTTCCGCCGCCAGCACCACGTCTACAAAAGAACGGCGGCCGGCCCAGCGTGGAAGGCGAAGGTATTGTTTCCTGTCTGGCTAATCGTCTACGACAATCAGCCGTCAGGAAACAATACCTTCGCCTTCCGCGGCCGCCGTTCTTTTGTAGACATGATTCTCTAAAAATGATTTTATAGTTGGACGAACAAAATCAACCTTCAATTCGAGGGTAGGTTTTGAATCAGCCTGGAGTTGAATATCGTATGTCAATTCTGCCACGTCCCTCGTATTCTTGTCTCAAGCAGTGAATGTTCTTTCTGGTGACAAGAGTAAGATTCACATATGTACTTTTGGTTGTTTGTGTAGCTGGTGTATCCATCGTACACAAGGTAGACAGTGAATGATAGATCTTCCTGATTTTTAAGATTCCACTCTCAGCAATAAATTCTAGAGGTTGGGCGACCACAGGCAAATGTACTTAAGATGTCATCCAAATAGATATCCAGACGGAATAAGAGTCTTTCATGGGAAGCAGAACAGCCATATTGTATTATTCTTCCTGGTTGGTAACTGAGAGTGATGATTTGAGATTTCTGGCTACAACCACAAACTTGAATCTGAATGGACAAATTCTTCAAAGAGATCCTAGTCAAGAACATGATATCTGCTTTTAGCTCGAGTATTAGGTTGATCGCCTACAGTTTATCTAATAGAAGTGACCTTTTTGTGAATTCTGAGCACAGGGCAGTCACCATCATCGCGCAAAACTGTCAGTTCTTGTATAAATACCTTCTTCTGATCCAGCTTGAAAAGAAAGTGACCCTTAGAATCAGTGATGACAAAGTTACCATTGTTGTATTCCAAAACCTTCTCGGCAACTATGAGTTTTACTTCCGAGGGCGAGCAGAATTGGGCATCAACTATAACCGGAATATCCATCCTTCAAATCTGCAGGGAAGAAAGCCCCACGGCTTCAAATCTTACGTGGGAATTGTACGAAAGTAAGTGAAACGTTTGGAGAACAAGGTACATGTACACTTTGAAGAATTCAAGGTTAGTTAGAGATCTAGCGTAGGTCCACACTCTTATACTGTAGTAATTTCTAGACAAAACAAGTAAAAAATGAGCTCAGACTCAAGGGAGCTGATAGAAGGATACAAATCTGTCCACTTGATGAATCTGAAACTCCTGACGAAATTCGTTGTCAAGCTCTAAATTATGAAACTACAATTGTTAGAAGAAATTAGAGAGTGTTTTGATTACAGGGAGGTACTACGATAATTTTGACAGGAGTGTGAAGTGCAATAAAAAGCTGGTCATCCAGGCTGCTTACAGCGTACAGAGAGGAGAGGGAAAATGCAGGAGGTGGCCTTGTAATGTTGCTTTGCTGATTGCAATAATGGGACTGACCCAAAGCTGTGCTGAGAATAATCTAGCAGCTTGGTCAATTTGCACTAGGTAAGGGAATGATTACATATCCCACCTTGAGCAGTTCGATGTTCACCTGACATTGAAATCTTTTATAATTCGCGACCTCAAAGTTTATTATAGGAGAGCTCCCGTGACCCAAACAGCAAATTACACTTGCAATCGTTCAAATGCTCGCTGTAAATTCTGAGCTTTACTCTTAGAAGAGCAAGCGCATACAGGTCGGAGGATTGTAATCTGAAGTATTGATGAAATATGTCATTCCATGATCATGTGCATGTTCATAATTTTGATATTGACGCAGTGCCTTCAAATATTCATTTTTTTATCTCCATTCAAAATATTAAATTACCAACCTTAAGGCCCACACTTGTCTCTTGGAACTACTTCTCTTGTTCTGGACTGCGTCACAAACTTTGATTCGTTGAACAGTGCAAACTGTTGTTGGCAAAAGTCTGGATGTTTAAAAAATCAACAGTCAAAGTAGGTTCAATCTTCACTCCTACTAGTGTTAGGGTCATAGTTCCATGATGCGTGGTTGCAAGCAGGATGATGACAGTCTAATATATGAAGTAGTTTAGTTATTTTCCAACAGAGGAATGAAGAATTAATTAGAGATGATTGTCTCAATGCCAGGTGTGGATATTCCTGGGCTCAAATACGTAGAATATTACGACTGCTAATTTGATGCAGTTGATACATCAGATTGGTGTCACAATCATTGAAAGGAGATTCTCAAGCTTGGTCCCATTTGTGACCGGTTGAATTGCAATTGTGCTCGATATTGTACATATGAAAACTAAAGACTTGAACGCACATTTACGTTGTCATCAAATCCTCAATTCAACGCTTCTACTTTTCCATATTCTCGAACTTCACATCTTATTTTAATACCACTAGTAAGGAATCATGCTGGTAGGGTTTTGATGTGCCTATTGTCAACATAATAGTTCATATAAATGAGATGCAAATCATCTGATTGATGACAGCAGTGACGTGTGTCAAAGTTATTCAGCGATCCTTGTACTTTGAATACAAGGACGAACGGAATATCTGAATCTGATTGGCATGATTGTATTCGAAATGGATCTGCAGTCGTGGATCTGTTCTTTGCCTTCATGTTATGACCGTCCCTTTCATTCTCAAGCTAAATATCAGGAGATAAAAGGATCAATGTTCAAAATTATCAGGGATCATGAAGATTGGTTTCTATCCAGAGGTAAAGTAGAGCCATTCAGATCTTATTAAAGGCTATCTCAAGTCTCAGCCTTTGGAACCTAAAACTTACATAGATGATAGACGAATCTTGTACTACAAATGTTATGGTTTGTCAACTAAAAGTGCAAGCTTTTTGACACCATAAACAGAAAGGAGCAACCGCAAGACTACGTTGGTTTTATAGGAGACATTTGATCCAGGATTATCAGGGCCTAAAGCTGAACATCTTGGATTGGAGACTCTCTGTGGCAAACTTTTGTTCCCCCGATCATTTGATTCTGCAGAGGCATGACTATATGGTTAGGAAATTTCACAATTGTCTAACCAAGCGGTTGGACTGCATTGCCAGCTGTCAGCTCATTTAAAGTCCAACTGCTGTACCAGGTCGCGAGCGAAGCCATTTCTGAGTTCAAGCACATAATTTTCAGTCATAGATGGTCACAGTGTACCAGAATCGATCGCGATAGAGGATAGAAACTTAAGCCTTACAGAGTATGTGTGTTATGGGGACAAGAACAGAGAAGATAGTGAGCACATTTGTCATCACATGGTCTCGACTGAGTTGTTCTTGGATGCAATTGGTGAGAAATTAGGTCCGATATGGTTCAGCCTATTCTCACCTAAGAATAAATCTATAGCGTTTTGCATCTACTACTCTAATTCCTGCAGCAATCAGAGACTGCCTAGCGAAAAGCGCATTCCAGAAGTTGAGCCTGAAGTTGGAGAGGTCCTTAGGTGTTGTTACCTCTGGACTTTGGCTCTCATTTAAATCTGCCAGATCGAGTAAGAGAGTCATGTTCCGAAGTCATGCTTGCATGTAGGATAGAACTGGGATCAAACGCCAAAACAATATGCTCCGCAGAAAACATCCCGTCAAAGCTTGAATTTAGCCGGCGACGAAGACAGTGATTTCAGAAACATAAGCACAACAATGTTCACTAAGTTGTATTTAATTTTTTGCTTGTTCATGTGCTTGACAGCGACATTTGACTTCGTGCCCTCCCCATATTCTGAGTCGTTAATTTTGGGAAGAATTGCAGAAATGCAAGTGCAGGGGTGATATTCCAAGTCAATAATATCTCGAACCTTCTGCGCATTGGTTTCTTACTACTTTCAATCAGGTTTGCTGCTTTATCGAGTCTAGACTGGATCACAGTGAAGTGCCAAGATTTAGTCTTCCGGACTAGCTCCAATCTCCTGTTTTCTCTCTCTCGTACCGCACAACTAAGCCTTACAAAGCCTACTTAAGAGTAAACGTGGATTTCACTGATATCAGTAGTAATACCCGCTCCCGCGTCTTTCCCTATACACGTCCTCCTCCTCCCCATGCTCTAGCCAAAACTGCATATATTCTTGGTACCACACATTTTTCAGTGCATTCCATGCTGCTTCTCCTGCTGTCTGGACAGCCCAACCATTGATCTTCGCCTGAATCCTCCCCCACGCACCATGAAATACCCTTCCCTCCTTTTCGAACCTCAATGCGAGCATCGCACTGCAAACCAGCGCCTGCAGCACGTCTCTATCAAGAGCCTTTAGTGTTGCAGTCTCTAGACCCTGCCCTTGTTGTAGAATCCACGTTGTCAAATGATCCACGACCCCACTCACCCACTCTTCTGGGTCAGGTTCGTTGGAGTGCTCTTCATCCAGCTTAGCAATCATCTCCTCAAAGGACTTCGCAAATTGAGTTACCGTCTCTCCATCGCACTCCGAGGGGCCACTGTCATCGAGGCCCTCCAATTCGAGATCCTGGGGATCTCGAATCAGCTCATTCACACTCCCGAATTCCTCCACCGACAGACTTCGCGGTAATCTGGAACATTGGCTGGCACTGCACAGGTCCCACATCGGAGGAGCCGAGCGATTACCCAAAACACCAGACACCACTGTCGACCGTCTCTCGGATCTCCTCATGCCAACGAGAGAAACAAGAGATTCCGGTTCACAGGACAACAGTGTCGGTGAACCAGTGTCGAATGTCACGTAGGATTTAGACGCGCGATGTTCTGGACGATCGAATTTCGGTTCCTCCGCTTGGACAACTACAAAATTGGTCCACTTTCCCGCCACTCCGAAGGTAGAACCTACTCTCCAGCCCTCCCTCGCCACAACATCCACGAAGGTTTCAGGCTCTGTTTGCGGGTCCACTCCGAACTCGCCCGAGTGAAGGTAGCTGCCCCCTACCTCTAGTTCCTCCAGGAGCTCTTTTGCGGCCAGATGATGGACCGTGGTGCCCAAGCCCACATCTCTGACAGGGACATTAAGCTTTACTCTGCTGCCTGAAGTTGTGTGGCACCACAAGGTGATGACTCGAGGAGTCGGCTCCGATCCCGAGAGAAGCACGTAGACATTGGTCCGACACAGTGGGTATAGCGGCGGAATGCGGTGTGGAGTCTGTATCCTAGTCGGCACTTCGAGGGCAGGAAGATGAGCGAACCTCTCCGTTGAAGAGAGATGCTTGGATTTTGCGTCTGCAGAAGCTGATGCAGTGCTCAGGGAAATGACCTCCGGCTGCAGTTTGGCTTCTTCAGGCTTCGGAGCCGGTGCAGAGGAGCTCTCTTCGTGCTGGACTATCTCCAATGCCTCGTCTCCGCCGTGCTCAGATTTGGAGGTCGTCGCCGCAGGGCTGGTGGAGTCAGCTGCAGAGAAAGAGATCTTGTACTCTTTGACGTGCTCCTGAAGTGCAGCGTTGAGCATCCACAACACTTCAACGTCGAGCTCATCGCCAATTCCTACAATATGCGCATACCCTCTGCCAGCTCTGGCCAGCCCCTCGACATTAGCTTCTGATCCGATCCCGAGAGAGAAAACTCTGACATCACCACCATCACATTCCTTCCGCACAAAATCCAGAAGGCTTTCCGTGTAATTGATGGGCATGTGGTTCAGAACGATGATTTCCGTCTGCAGATCTTTGTACCTTTTCTGCAGAGCGTCTTCCACGGGAGGCAAAATCTGGATGCCCCGGAGGTCTTCCTCAAAGGTCTGCACATATTTCAGTGCCGTATGCAAATTCTCCTTGTCGTATGGCATGCTCTCTGGCCACAAGAAGCTGTGGCTACTGCCGAAGGTGCAAATGTTGAATTTCACTCCAACTGTAAGAGTCTTCAAGAAAACTGTCAAGGCGTGTCTCAGCTGCGGTAATTGACGCCCCATAATGCCGTTTATATCAGCTATGAAGATGATCTCAGGTGATATCCGTGACATCTGGAACTTGGGGACCAGAGAGAGCAAGACCGCCCTTTGGTTGTTGCCGAGTGCTGAATGCGTCTCCACGATGGCTTGCGGCTGCCCCATATCAGCAGTCGACACGATGAGGACGAAGTCCGAGTCCCGGTCTGAAGCCGTCTGAGATAGAGTGACGTAGCCTTTGCATTCATCACGCTCTTCCTCAGACGGGCTTGTGCTGGGAGAGTGAGTGCCCATTCCCACAATGATCGGGTGCGATGGCGATTTTAAGCTGGTGATGGGAGAGACCATCGTCACCGCAATCTTTAGCTCAAACCCATTGAAATCGCGCAATATGTTCTCGGGCAACACGAACCGAAGGCCATCGCTTTGGATGTCGTGTTCGAGCTCGGCCACAAGAGTGATCTCCACCTCGACCTTCGCACCAGCGGGTATCGTGCAAATTTGCGTTACCCATAAATCGCTCGGAACGAGCGGAAGCAAATCCACCGCTAGATCTCCTCGTGCCTTAGTGGTCTCATACACCTGTCGGGCGGTGTGCCTGTCCTCGATCTTTCCTACAATGACCTGGTCCTCTAATGTGCAAGTGAAGGCGACGATGGCGGCCCACTTGTAGCGAGGAAATGCATACACAGCGTTATCCAGTTGTTTTCTCTTCGAATTTACGAACGTCTGCTTCAACGTAACTCGCGAACATGTCTGGCAGATGACTGCTTCTACAGTCAGAGCAATACTTTTGATCGCCTTAAGACCTGATTCTAGCCCATATGAATTGGCAATACCAATAAAGTACATGGGTGGATCCTTTCGCTTCGGCATATCAGAAAATTGAGTCAGTGCGCTTGTCTGTCTCCACTGGTCACTGTGCTTGTTTATCTGTTGAATAGAATCAAGCAACAAAGACGCCGTCCAGTAATGTGATCTCCTAAAGAGAGAAAGGGATGTGTGTAGAGAAATCCCCAAGAAAAATATGAATCGGAGAAACGACGGATCGGCACGCTTGTCAAAGAATTTTTTTTTGCCGCACTTGGATCGAGTCCGTTGATAAAGATAAGAAGAAAAGCTCTAGGAATTCTGCTATTTTGGATTTTTATCGAGAAGTGCTTGACATAAACTGCCAAACTGGACCTACAGCATCGGACTACTAAGTCCCGAGAGGTGAAATGGTGATTTCGGTGGCCACAGGTGGCTCTTGTATGCACCCTGAGGAATCCGAAGAGGAGAACACTTCAGAGTGAAGAAAACGTGGAGTAAATTAAAATTCTCTTCAAATCAGCGTGAAACCATTGTGTGAAGACGAAGTCTGCAGATGCTAGACCTGTTTCGACAGACATTCTGTCTCACATGACATGGCGGAGACACCGAGAAGATTCATCGCGCTTCCACTAGCAAATATAAAAACTTTCAACGCCGCTATCGAGGTTGCGCGAATCAGGTGATTCATGAATAAACGCAACGCTGGGGCAAAAGACAGTTTAAGCCCACCAGTCTCTCCAGGGAAAAAGGATACTTATGGATGTCAAAGCCTATAACTGTTGCAATGCTGCTGGCGTTTCACTTCACTCTGGGCATCGTCCAATAGTCGAGCCCTATACTTTATTCTGGCCCCAATCTTAACTTTCAGAACTGGAAGAGTTTCTCTCAGTCCGTAAGGACGTTTCAACATTATAAGAGGCTCGTTACAACAGGAGAGTAGAGTGACGGCTGCATTCAGAACAAACATGAAATGCGTTGCTGATCATATCGGCCAAAAGTAGATAGACGAATTCAATCTTGCATGAACAAGAAGGAATGTGGATTCGTAGTCTTGAGGTCAGAACATTCTATTCTGGAATTGAGAACATCAGCTCAGTCCAACGAAGCTAAACAGAAATCTCACTGTACATTGAAGTCAATAACTGTTACATCGATAGATGAAAGAAGGATGGTTTGGAGCACGATTCTAGTGCATCATCGAGTTTAAAACATTTGCACCTCACCGCATCCTATATGTGACTATTTTTTGCTCGCTTCTTGTACGGTCTGAAAGCTGTATCAAATTGTATTATATCTTTCAGCAGTGTTTACTTCTCAATTCCTTTAATTCTTCCTCGAGACGGCAAGATATTCAGCTAGCCTGTGACCTGCTCAGAGATACCCCATTTTGTGCGGAGGACAATTCGCGTTCCTATTTTCTGCCCTCAAACTTATCATTGACATCTACTCCAGGCACCCTTACACTGTTCCTTACACAGCCCAATACATGCACAATCCTTAAGGGCGAAGTGCTTGCTCCTAGAGTGATGCTTACTGCAATAATTACTGCACTATTAAAGGCCTATGCCTTTAATAGTGCCTTTAATAAATAACAGTTTGCTGCAGCATTTGCACCAGGAACAGCTCCAACTCCGGAAGACTTTTTTTTTATCACATTGGCCAGGAATACCAGAGATCAACCACTAGTTTTAAGAGCTGCTTAGAATGATGGTGATGATGGCATAACGGCCAATCCATTCCCGAAATATTCAGTATTGTTGCACAGCACATGAAGTTCCGTTTACGAACATCACATTGTACATTCAGATACAGCGTGCAATAGTAGTACAGTCTTCGCGCCAGGATGCGAAAAATGTACTCCGCGCATTTGGCACCTGTCAGCTCCTCCGCGGATATGGCTGGAGCTGCGAGACAAGAAGAGCGAGTGTTCTAATAAACGGCTAGAGAGAGAAGAGACGGGAAAGCCAATAGCTTTCGTCTCTTCCGGCTCCAGACCAACCTCCTCTACTGATCGCAGTGAACTCAAGCAACTAACTAACCGAACGGTGTGCGTAACGGGGAAGCCGAACGTTCTTCATATGAAGGCCCGGCAGTATGCGGAAAAATACTTACGGTCGGGGTCACTATAGTGAAAAGTGTAATGAACTGGAATTCCTCTGTTTCATTATTAAAAGGTCCCGCGGGTTTTCTAAAACACCAGAAACCCCATCCTTTCTTTATGTTTTCTCTGTGGAGCTCTCATCGTATGTATATGTATATGATGTTGGACTGGTATGCATGTGACACGTTAGTATATAACTAAGTTTATACTTATAATAATATACATACTAAAGTATAAGTATAAGTATAAACTTTTGAACACTGAATGAATACTAACAACATTACTTGTTGAAAATGATGTATTAGCTCTTACAATCTAACATCTATGTAATTAGTGTTAACATTGTAAGTAGAAAGTAAAAAATGAATTTTTTATCTTAACAAATGGAATAAGAATAAGAATCTATGGGGTACTAATATTTTTTGGTGAATAATATAGGATATGACTATGGCTTCATAACGCATTGACAAGTAAGTATTATTCTCACCATTAAACTCTTCGATAACATTGGTTGAAGAAAAAATTATACATATTTATCTTCACACAACAATGTTTCTCTGATTAATCAATATTGTAACAATTCCAACGGACAAGGTAATTCATTCCAAAGGTGGTTGAAACTTTCTCATTCGTTCCCATCGATCACGGAGCGACAAGTAAAACCAGAAATATTCCACGGCTCTTTCACCTATATTAGATGCTTTTTCGCAAACTGCCCGTTTCTGTAGGACTAGAGCAAGTATAGTACATGATGGATCCACCATTCTCATAGCTGAAAGATGACAGTCTCCGACTCGCTATCCTCATTTGAACACTTCATCCCAACTTGGTTCAGGTGAGGCTGACTGACGCAGCTCCTCGTGAATTGGGAATATAGGAAGGGCTAGAAATGCCGTTCCTTGCGTCTTGCTGATAGTGTTTGTAACTCACAACCCTGCTTTACTCAGAAAGCTTAGAGCAAAATGCTGAGGATTGCCTCGAAGAGTTTATAAAACCTATTAGCCAACAGCTAAAGCCAAGTCTTTATTGAGATTCATTCAGCTAAAATATAGTGCTACTGCACGTGATTAACATGGAATTTCAATACAGCTCAAGGGAAAGCGATCGCATAATTGCACCGTTGATTTCGTCATTCTCTCCTCTCTAGACTGCATCTAAACTTGTCCCCAACGAGCTGCATCACATCTTCCTTTCACAAATTGTAAGGTAGAGGCGACCATGATCGATCTAAGTAGGGCAATGCTACCTTCGCTTTTCATGTTCTCTATATGCTGGCTAGCTGATCAATGGCATTGCTTTCTAAGCCAGATGTTATTATCAGGATTGAAGTAGTCAGGTTTTGATTTTTTAAAAGTTGGACTCCGATGAACTGATTTCTCATAGGAAAGCTGATCTTAATGCTAAGGTATTTCATTAGGGACTGACATCAACTTCGGAGCTCGACGTACATCCCATGGAGGAACCCATGTGATGTACGTCCAGCTCCGAAGTTGGAGTGAGGACCTGACTCACTGTTTCGTTTCTGAAATCTCCTCCCTCATCTCCCACTGAATTTTTGTCTCTTGATACATCAATTTGCCTCTGACTGTGATTCTAATATAGGTTGCCTGCAAATGACTGCGTGTGATAAATTTTGTCCGGAACCATCATCACATTCACAACATATTTCTCAATATTTGATAAATTAATCACCTTAGATCACCATGAAAGTACTTTGTTCAAGTATTGGATTGACTAATGATGATGACATTCTTCGTAGACCTGACCATTGGCCTCACTTAACATATTGTCTCCAAACAGCTTTTTCAGGAACTCAGCAGACAAAACCCCGAAGAGGGCAGTTGAGGCTGCGGCTCACATGAGGCTTCACATACAATCCAGAAGGTTTACTGAGATGAGCACCGTTACTAGAGTATAAGATTTCAGCAATCCTGATCCCAGAACACATCGTTTTGGTATTTGTGAAATAATCATTGCTAACAGCAAAAGATTCAATGAAGGGGAATAAAGGCCCCAACAGGCTTTCCTTTTACGTCAATTTGTCTCACGAATTATCACAAACATGTGAACTCAGTACATTGCTTAGGAGAGAATCCTGATTTCTCAAGTACACCCTCCTCTCTGCTCACATATTTTTTAAGTCACTTGTGCTCATCGCGATATAAGTTGGCGAAGACCGTTTCATGACAATACGATTCAAGATGAAAATCTCGTTTATTGTACAGTGGTTGTTTCGATTCGACCTCCAGATTATTGATTACGTCAACAAATGTTGGAAATAACGAGATTCTGCATCAGGGTCTCCTACTCGTGACAGAAAAGTTCAATACAATCTACACTTCACTGCCTTAAGGACGATGCCACAATTCCTTCTTCAGCTGCATGGTCTGAACCTGGATAACATGCCAGGGAAAAAAATAAAGTAGGAAATCAATTAATTTGAAAAATTATTCAAGCTCCGAAATTGCTGTCAAATGTACTGAACCTGCGGTCTGGGCCAAGGTCTATTATTATAGATATATATATATATATACATATATATATATATATATATATTTATTTCACAATAGAGTCAATTTAGCAAGTGAGGTTCAACAAGAGCAAGAACATTTTAATAGTTCATATATACATCAAATATAAGCTCCAAGTTCTGCGAGAAGGTTCTAGACCTGCTCATCATTCTTGTTACATTTGAATGGTCTTAATCGAAATAAATTATAAAGGTTGCGCTGCCATATTTTCGCCCGTAGTGGTTTCGATCCTCAAACTTGTGGACTGATATGCATGAACGTTGTAACAAGGTACGTCTCCCAGTGAAGGGGCTCAATTATTGGAGTTAGTTTTAACATGTGGCGGGTCTCCATTGGAAGCATTAGAACGGGCTGTACTAAATTGTCTGTGACATTGACGGAGGAGTCGCCTGATCAGGACGTCGAAGTCGATCCTGCTTGGTTGAACATGCATCTGATCAGCTTCCTGTGAACTGTCTTTCTCGATCCCAGCTGCAGTCTTATGGAAGCCGAGACTTTCTGGAAGTCTGAGCGCATCTGGAAAGCGGCCAGGTTACGTTCAGCGAATAGATCCAAGAATCATTTCCCAGTCTGATAAAGCGAAAGTGTGGAAGTCTCGTCGCTGGAAGTGGACCCCGTCGAGAGGAAAGGATTCCTGAGTTCTTCAGGGAGGAGAGACATGCATTTCTGTCAAATGTGGTCCTATCATAAACTGAAACGTGGTGGGTCTCATCAACTGATTCGAGTCTCCAACGGTCCCATCAAGTAATTACAATGAAGCTTCTCCAATCTGGAGACAAAAGCTCCCAAGAGGAGTAATCCTGCAATCATGAATCGTCGTGGAATCTGGCTCTACTTTACACAGTCCAATTGGAACAACTCAGTGCAGACAACGCTGTGCTATCTACAGGCCCAGCAGCAGTAGCACATGTGTATGGCGGACAACGAGTCCCCATTCATGCGGAATCTCGTAAGCCCCGGTTGGACCCCGGGGTCCAGCCGGGTGCAAAGCGAGCAGTCGCGTACGCATCAGTCAGCTGCTGAATGATTCAGTCTATGTCGGTTCGTTGAACACTCCGTATCTACCTTTACTGAAATGGCGAGCGAAATCTTGAGTATGCAGTAGCCAGTGTCGTGCGCAGGGCATTGTTCTCAGCGTTCCGATCACGACCCCGATCACAATCACGACCCCGATCGGAATTCCGATCTCGAAGGCCCGCCAGAATGTACCATCCAGAAGCTCGAACGGCGGAGCCCCGAGTGTGGCCGAGCTTCCGCTTGCGTTGCTGTCTTGCGCCGCACAAGTGGTCTCGAGCGGGCCCCGCAGAGCTGATCGTTCCCGGGCTTGAAGGACGAAATGTCGTACCTCGTGGAGAAAGCATTCGCCGTGGGGATCTCGCCCTCGAGGAAGTTGTAGGAGAGATTCAGATAGCTCAAGCTGGGCCTGCTCAGCACCGCAGGAATCTTCCCCGTGAGATAGTTGGCCGACAAATCCAGCGACTGGAGACGCAGCAGATCTTCGAAAACCTGAGGGATTTCGCCCGAGAAATTATTGTGCGTCAGATTCAAGTACGTCAATCCGCGCAGGTCTCCAAGCGCGTACGTGAGCCTCCCAGAGAGCTGGTTGTATGACAGGTCGATGGAGAATAGAGTCTCGAGGACGTACTCGAGGTCGAGTCGCGAACCTTTGGCCTCAATGGAGATTTGCTCGAGCAATTTCCCCCCGTCCACCTGGACACGTACAGGGATGAAGTCGTCCATGACACTGCTGCTTCCCCCGGCGTCGTCTGGCGACGCTTCGAGTCGAATAAAGCCTTCCAAGCCCGAGAGATTGGTCGGGCACACTCCCGTGAACGAGTTGTGCGACAAGTCGAGCACTTGCAGCTCCGGAAGCTTCCAGATCCAGCCGGGCACGCTGCCGCCGAATTTGTTGGATGATAATTTCAAAACTCGCAATTTGCGCAGCACTGGCTGAGAGTACTCGTAGTTGTCGGGGAGCTCCTCTGAGAATTCATTGCTGCTCAGGTCCAGGAGCTTCAGTTCCGTGCAGTTGTACACGCTCACGGGAAACTCTCCGCTCAGCTGGTTCCCGTTGACAGAGAAGGTCTCGAGGGATCGCAGCTGCAAGAAGTCAATCTGAGTGACTGGGCCCGTGAGCTTGTTTTTGCTCAGCCTAATTTTTCTCAGGGAGCTGCAGTTCGCCAGAGACGCGGGAATGGTTCCCGTGAGGTTGTTGCTGTGGAGGACGAGATACTCCATGTACTGCAGTCGCCCCAGCTCTGGAGGGATTCCTCCCGTCAGAGAATTGTTGCCCAGATTGATCTCGTTGGTGCTCTCTAGGTCGGCCAAGCTCGTTGGTATGGGCCCCGACAGCCCGTTATTGTGCAGGAAGAGGAGCTTCAAGTTCGACAGCTTGCCGAGCTCGGAGGGAATGTGGCCTCGAAAGTTGTTGTCGTTCAGGAGCAAGTACATGATGCCGTTCGAGTGCATCAAGAGATCTCTCAGCGGCTCCAGAGTGCCATTGAGATTGTTGTTCGTTGCGAGCAGGTAACCGAGCATCGAGAGGTTTCTCAGCGGCTCCAGCGTGCCCGTGAGCCTGTTGTTCACTGCGTTCAGGTAAAGGAGCTGCGAGAGGTTTCTCAAAGGCTCCAGCGTGCCCGTGAAATTGTTGTTCGATATTTTTATCCGATAGAGCAGCGACAGGTTTCTCATCGGGTCCAGCGTGCCCGTGAACCTGTTGTTCTCTGCGAACAGGGATATAAGCATCGAGAGGTTTCTCAGCGGGTCCAGCGTGCCCGTGAACCTGTTGTTCTCTGCGTACAGGGATTCGAGCAGCGAGAGGTTTCTCAGCGGGTCCAGCGTGCTCGTGAACCTGTTGTTCTCTGCGAACAGGGATATAAGCACCGAGAGGTTTCTCAGCGGGTCCAGCGTGCCCGTGAGATTGTTGTTCCCTGCTGCTATCAGATAGAGCAGCGAGAGGTTTCTCAGCGGGTCCAGCGTGCCCGTGAGATTGTTGTCCCCTGCCTGCAGCCATTGGAGCTGCGTGCAGTTGTTGAGGCTGTCGGGCAATTCCCCGTCTAGATGGTTGCTGCTGAAATCGAACACTTGGAGGTTGGCCAGCTGCCCCAGATTCTCGGGGAGGCCGCCGGTGAAGTCGTTGTCGAACATGTACAAGATCGTCAGCGCCGTCATGGCCGTCACAGCTCTGGGAAAGGCGCCACGAAAGTTGTTCCCGTCGATGAAGAGCTTTTCGAGCCGACTCCACGAAGTGGACTCCACTGTCAGAAAACTCCCCGTCAGGAAGTTGTTCCTCACGTTCAGGAACTTGAGCTCCGACAGCGACGCCAGCTCCACGGGGAACTCTCCCTCCAAGGCATTGAATCCCAAGTGCAGATACTTGATCTTCGTCAGGTTGCCCAGCTCGGATGGGATGGAGCCTGTGAAATTGTTCTGCTCGAAGCTCAGATACTCCAGATTGACGAGCTGGCCGTACTCTCTCGGAATGGGACCCGTCAGATAGTTGTTGCCGAAGAAATCCAAGTACCACAGCTTCGTGCAGTTGGCGATGGACTTGGGAATGGGGCCTCTCATCTCGTTTGACTGGTAAAGGAAGTACTCCTGCTGTAAGCCGAAATTGAAGACCGCGCCCAGGGCCAGAACCTCGAGCTCAGAGAGCAGACCCAACTCCTCCGGAATGAACCCCTTGAAGAACTCTTCCTGTGCTCCGATGTAGAGGACTCGTAGGCTGGACATGTTGCCTCGAGCTCAGAGAGCAGACCCAGCTCCTCCGGAATGAACCCGTTGAAGAACTCTTCCTGTGCTCCGATGTAGAGGACTCGTAGGCTGGACATGTTGCCGTACTCTGCGGGAACACCACCGAAGAGAAAATTATCGTGGACGTTCAAGGTCTGCAGTCTCTGCAGCCGGCCCCATTCCACGGGAAGCTCGCTCAACAGGGAAATGTGGCTCAGATCGAGGTCCACGAGGTATTCGAGCTTGCTCAAACGAAGGACCCAAAGTGCCGTTCATCCACAGCCTGGAGAAGTTGAGGGAGATCACGTGCAGCTCATCGTCGCAGATGACCCTCGTCCACGAGCAGTAGGCGGAGCGATTCCCCGTTGTCCATCCATCCAAAGCGTTGTGCGTGTAGTATTCGATTTCGGCCTTGAATTGCAGGAGCGCATCGGCCTCCCTGGGACAGTGGCAACACATTGGAATCGTATGGCGTTAGAGATGAATTTCACTCACTAGCCCAAGCATGCGCATTGCTGTGCATATGCTCGGACGAAGGACACAAGCGACAGGTGCAGAACTGTGCACTTCTCTATCAGATGATATCTTGCTGCTAAATGTAACTGACCCGAAGCTGTCTTGGAGCAAAGTGCGGGATATTGCTCTGGAGTGTGCAGATTCCTCCTGAAAACGATGGAGAGGCTCATGTCGATTCGTTAACAAAGTTTTGACGGCTTGGTCCTGAAGTTTAAACTGCTGCAGCTCTCGCTGGCTCCTGGGACCGTCGTGTGCTTGTTGCTGGCCCATATGCGCCTCGACGGAGGAAGCCAGAGGAAGTCCACTCTCGATGTTGATGCTGCCATGCTCTTTCCCGGCCGATTCTGCACGTGCATCGAAATCTGGATCCTGTAGAGTCTCAACAAGAGTCTTGATTCTGCTTATTTCTCTGAAGGTGGTATCCTCCTGACCAACGGCGCAAGCACCGAGCTGGATGCAACAAAGCACCAGAATCACCAACATCCTGAAGCGTTTGCGGAGAGCGGGCAGATCAGGAGCGTAAACGACCGATGCCCGACCTGTAGATCTTCTGAGTAAGCGCATGGTGTCCACCTCCAGAGAGATACAAAACTCAATTCTCCATGTATTGTTCAATCTCCATGCATCGTGGAATTGCGAATTATTATTCAAGCAACTACATTCTGTTTTGAGCAGCAAACATTTTCAATATAAACTATGATGAGTGCATGGTATATCTTGAAATGTCGTCACTGTTCTAATGCTAAGAATATCTGTAATGTAGCTCCCGCCAAAAGTTACCTCAGATAAGATGGCTGTCATCGACGACAGAGAGAAGCATCTAACATCCAACAAAATGCAAGAAAATACATTTTCGCAGGTTGTTTGCACAAAAACAATTTATACTCACTATGAGCTTCAAGAAGAGCAGTGCAGCACGTGGTGGGCACTGGTGAAGATGGCAACTCCCTCAACACGTGCTGCATGAAAAGAGTAAGAGGACACTGTGAGATAAATTGCAAGCCTAGCAAGTTGGCTTGGAGAAGGAGAAACAAAAGGTAAGGAGTGGCCCCCTCTGAGCAGAAATCAAAATCGACCAGGAGGACCTGGAGGTGAGAGCAAAACCAAAGGTCTTTTAGAAGACGTTCAAGTCGATAGTGTTTGATGTGTCAGGCAAATAAAAAGTTAAAACTAAGAGTTACCTTTATACAGTCTCCAATGACATGAGCGTCTTCATCTGGCCCAAACTGGTTATGCCCCACCTCATAGTCACGGAGCCTACGCTCAACTTCATCTACATCTGCTGACTGACGTAAGATTCCTTCCACGCCCAGACCTGAATCACATATTTTCAATGAAAAGTTCTAAGTCTAAATCAAGCTGGGTCATACAGATTGGCTACTAAACACTTAGTAAACTTAAGTAAATAATAGCTTATAATGAACAATAGCTGAAGAAAAGGGGAGAAAAATGTTCATGATTTGAACAAGTAAAATGCACTAATAATTTGTTACTGGTAATCTCCAAGTTCGCCAAAAATAATTCAGCGAATTACACAATTTCCGAGAGCTCCTATCTTCGTGACTATTAAAATCTGAATTGAAGTACTTCTAAAGCAAAAATGCTAGCTTAGCTAAGTGGGTAGAACGTGCAATTCCTACTACCTTGCAATCAGGCATTGCAAGGTAGGAGTTCGATTCCCCTCGCCGACGGTTAGTGTGAAATGAGTGCCATGATTCTCTGTGAGGTAAAGAGACCTTTCAAGAAGTGAAGGCCTTCCATCAGTACCTTACAACGCAAGCAGTGTAGGTCCTCCGTCAACCAGGGATTTTACAGGTCTTCTATTTCCTTGACATGCACATAGCCGAGGGAAACTGGGACATCATTACAAGCAAGCTCTATTTCTGATCAAAACTAGTACTGAAACTTCCAATGCAACTTGAATCACAACTTTAAAAGGAATGTATGAAACCAAGACCGCAGGGAGAATTTTGTGACAAAAAACGTGGAAGTGTTGGATCCGATTAAGTTGTTCAGCAATTTTCTGAACATATTCCCGGAATCAGGACTTCATTACGTTCTGTAGATTCAATAAGATGGAATCAAATGTAGTACAGGATCTCTAAATTGTGAGAATTTCATTAATTGGCAAGTACAATGGCCCACAGTCTTGCACACAGAACGCACTTTAGAGAAGAGACCCAATACCTGTACTGTTACTCGACCCTTCAACTGTATCAATCGAATCATTTCGAAATATCCCGTTATGACCCATGACAAGGTCTGCATTCGGCGCTGCAGCCAGTGCACGGTCAAGTGCAATTTTCCATTCTTCACCCATCCATCTCAACGAGCGCTCCCTCCCTCAGCTCTCGTCCTACACAAAAACCAAGCTGCATACGGTCGTCGTCTTCTGCTTCTTCTTGCCAAAATTTGTCAGAAAATTCTACCCGACAATTTGCCCTGACCTCCGAACGCCTCCACACAAATTCACACCGCCAACCTCCCCACCTGATCTACGCGTCTACTGCCTCGCACCGAGAACCACCACCTAATCCTCGATTGCCGTCCGTCGTCGCCAGATCACTCGATTCGCCCGCCACCAACAAAAACAACTCGCCACAATGTCTCCACCCTGCAGCAGCAGCAGCAGCAGCTCCTTCGCCACCGCCCGCCCTCCGCTTCACGAAATCCAACCTCCTCATCGCCCGCCCTCCCGCACTAACCCTGCATCTCTACCGAGCGCCTTACGAATCCATCGCCTCCTCCTCCTCCTCCTCCTTCCTTGCCTTCCATGCGCTCAGATCGATCCGACCCTGCGCTCCTCGTCTCCCCTGCTGGGTTCCGAGAATGGGCAGCTAAGCCTTCACTTCACTTTGAGGATCGAATGCTTTCTTTACCCCTCCCTGGGCACGCATGAACGAACTAGGTGGTCTACGGTCATGGAAATTTTAATTATCAACTCCCCGCTTGGATTCATCGGCCACCATGATTCATCGGCCACCATGCAAAGCTTTTAATCGTCGTGACGTGTGCAAAGACTTTTTGGCGGGGCTTCCTTTTCTTCCTCACATTGTCTCCTTTGAAAGCCTAATCTACGCCAATGAGCCTTCTTTCCTTCCTCTTCTCTTGGAAGCAAAGTTCATCAACCTGCAGGGTTACATGATTCTGGATTGGAATTTGATTACATCTGCAACTACGTAGAGCTTGAATTGAGCATCAAGATATGAGAACAGATTGCCAAATTCTAGCATATACAAAGTAATGGTGAAGAGATCTGAAGGTCAGCAAGCTCGAATTGCAAAACCTATGCATTTGCTGTACTGTGCTCAGAGGAGAGAATCGTACTCTGTCGCTGAGATGTCGACTCTGGGAACATCTACAACTTGATGAGTTCTTCCTAGAAATTTTGCTATGTTACTTCGTACTTCTTCTGATTAGAGAGAGACAAGGATTTGGCAGCTGTATGGTTACGATTGACCCGTCTGCAGAAGCTGAAGGCACAGTTGTTTTAGCTGTATGTGAGTTATAGAGCATTGTAAGCGAGCTGAGTGCATTATTCTAAGAACCACATAATAACGCGAAAAGATCAAGGTTTACTTCTACGGAGTTGATACATTATATGTGGAGTTGTAAAATTTCGAATGACACAGGTAACTGGCAAAGAAAGTTAGCGTTGAAGCTAATGAAGAAAGTGTTGTTCTCTGGGTTGAGAAATAGGTGTAGATATCTTAAGTATATCAGAGTTCACTGATCGTGAATGACAACGTCTGCAATCCAGGGTCAGGACGATGATGACGATAATCCTCAAGTGTGCAAAGGTCATGCTTTAATCAGATTCTGCATTTACATGGATGGCACTTCAAAAGAGAACGATTTTTCTTCATATCCAAATCCAAGCTCTAGTATCATCTTCAACGGCCAAGCCTTGTGTACCACGCTAGAAAGTGCTTGTAGTTGACTTCTGTCGCTCAAGACTTTAGCAGGAGTCTCACGAGAACCTCGTGACATGTCCTCCTTAATCTTTGTGCCAGTTGTACGTAATCATCAGAGGGATGCACCCTGAACTGACCCACCCATTAGATAATCAGTATGCTCACATCTTTAATCAACGGTGCCCTGATTTAATGAGCAAGATCCGTGGATATGTCGTGCAACGTAAAGTATCTTCGAGGCTTGCATGTAGGATCTAGTGAAGTGACGTGTGGATAAGGCGGAGAACCATAGAGCTAAAAGAGTTCGGAGGTGGGACATGACTCAGGAATTCTGTCATGAAGACGGCTGTGCAAGGCCGCAAAAATATGGCAAATTCTGTGCAGAAAATATTGTAAAGAAGAAAGTGCCATAAATGCTGATTTCAACGTAGCTGCGAATATCAATATTGTCGTCCGTTGTATCAGTTTGCATCTTGAATGCACAAGATCACTGATAACGATAATTCTTCAATGAGGACATCGTTCCGGCTGGAGGTGACACTACTACACGGCTGGGACGATTGTGTGGGCTATGACTGAGCTTCTGCGGCATCCCAACATTATGGAAAGACTTCAGAGTGAGCTCGACGATGTGATCGGTAAAGAAAGGATGGTTGAAGAACCAGACCTCCGGAATCTCGAGTATCTGCAGGTAGTGGTGAAGGAAACACTACGGCTGCACCCACCCGCTATGCTGGGAGTTCCTCACTCAACGACCGAAGCAACATAAGTAGCAGGATACGATATCCCCGCCAACACCCGGGTTATTGTGAACGTTCATGCCATTAATACAGATCCCAAGGTTTGGGGAAATCCTTTGAAGTTTGATCCTTCAAGATTCTTAAACAGCCGTATAGATGTGAAAGGGCAGCATTATGAGATTCTGCCCTTCAGTTCTGGGCGAAGGCTGTGTCCAGGCATGAATCTGGCGCTCGTCTCTGTGGCCTACACCCTCGCCCAGCTGGTTCATGCTTGTTCAATCCCACTGCCCGAAGGCCTGACTCCCCTGGACGTAGATGTTGAAGAGAGGTTCGGTATCACGGTAGGGAAGCGGAATCCTTTGAATCTACTCTTAACGAGGCGACTGCCTTCGGATGTATACCAGATACAATCAGTTCTCGGCACAACCACTATTCTATATGTATGAACAATACAAGTAGCTGACTCCACGCTTAGATACGACGAAGTGTTTATATTTGTAGGTTTATCATCTATAATGGTTTCCAAGTTTGAAATCTTGCAGCTATTTCGTGTCGAAAAAAAGTAGGAAATCAATTAATTTGAATAATTATTCAAGCTCCGAAATTGCTGTCAAATGTACTGAACCTGCGGTCTGGGCCAAGGTCTATAATTCCAGCAGTCTCAAGTAATGAATACAAGGTATATGAATGAAAGAGAATAATTGGTGGGGACACGCAATAGAGCTTGTGTGACACTGTCTGGAAAATTTCAGTCAAAAGATTTGTCCCGCGAAATTGAAACAACACACAATCCAGTCCAATGATGCAATTTCAGGGCCCTTTCCTGTAGCATGCGGAACGTGTATGTTGCTACGAAGCAGATTGATACCAATTTGGAAAACGTGAATTGCGTCTGGTGAATTGAAGATTAGAAGTTGCAAAATGGTAAAGTAGCGCAATGTAAGATGTGAAAAGAAGGGGGGGAAAAAAGGTTAAAATGTAATCACATTGATTTATAGAAATTAGAACTCCTAAAATTTAGAAAGCAATATAGCTTGTATGTATTTCTCACGTACAACTACGTCGATAGCATAGAAAGACAAAGATAGGATCAGAGTTGTAAATTGCTTCTACTTGTATGCGTAAGTGACTGCAATTTTCTGCCAAGGATGACTTTTTTTTTCTTAACACTTCATATGGTATTCTCTGTTATAATCAAAAACATGTGATTGACTCTTACTTCACCTTTGTGTCTTGACTCTCTTTAAATGTAATAAACAAAAGTAAAAACTTGAAAAATCTTCTACTTATTTTGATAAAACATCATAGACAACTCAATGCTATACGATTTTTAGTTGTTCAGCTGGTTCAAATTGTTGGCTATCTCAGAAGGTTCAGTCTTTTTACCACTCAGCCACGATACAACCTGACTTCAAATCATGAAACATTGAACTCGTGAGATTGATAAATAAGTTTGATAGACAACAATATCTAAAGACTAGGAATATTTAATTATGAGATAGAAGTTAGATTGCGCTCCGAACATTTCGCATATTATTCGCATCCAAAAGGGGAGAGGCAGTCACCTTATTATTTACACATTAAAACGAACCTCATGGCTTCATATACGACCTTCAATCGCTTAGACAGTACACTTTGTATTATGATTGTGAGGCCTGCGAATGACAGACCTTCCAGAAATTCGCACGCGCCGGTTGAGGCACGGGCGGGGGTTTGGAAATAGTTTTCAACCAGCAATTGACGCGTCTCGGTTTCACCTCACTAACTGCGTCATTGCCCCAAGCGCAAAGATGAGGCAGGCGCCTTCACTCTGCAGAAATATACTACAAGTAACATGTCAGATTTTGTGTTGTGTATGGGTTAATCTCACACTTGCTCGCAGATTCGTCTCTCCATACATATCATACTGCTCATTATGAAGAGTTTGTCCGTGGAGTTTGTAGGTCCGAAGGTGACTTTGAGGTTTGTGCTACTGCTTCGAAAATATGCATCATATGACATGCGAAAGTAATTAGCTTTCGGTTTCAAACTCAACAAAGAGTTTAATCCTAACGCCAATGAATAGTTTTGCTATATTGAAAGAGCTAGATAAGCGGTTTCCATTTTCTAGGGAGGTGCTGCGTAACTTCAAAGGCTGCTATAGTAGATGATCCATTAGGACCAATCCAGGGCAACAAACTGAATCTTTGTTGCTGAAGAGATGTGGTATACGACGCCACTCAGAGTGTCCAGTCTGTGAGTCTGAGCAGCAGCGGGATCTTTCGAACCAATCAGTCCTTCTCTTAGTGACCTTACCCATGATTTGGGAGGAAAAGACTTTTCTCGGCAGATATCACAGGAGCTTGGAAGGCTAGGATCTTTGAGGCAAGTAGATCTTCACAGCCAATCGCTCATGGGAATTTTTCCAAACTTTTTGAGAAACCTAACCAACTTGCAGAATCTGTTGTTGCATATCAACAACCTCACACGATTGGCGCCACAAGAGCTGGGGAAGGCTCTCGCCGTAGAATAAGCTTTATTTTTGAAACAATTTGTTCCCAGGGATCTTCTGATCTCTTTCAGTAGTATGACGAGCCAGGAGGAGGTTTCATCAGAAAAAAATGATTTTCGGTTCAATAACAAAGCAGCTATTTGATTGTCTTTGCTGTGGAAGCTAAACGTCAAAATTGTCAATCAAACGGAACACTTTGTATGACGCTTGTAAAATCTTGGCCTCAAGTCGATGAGCTCTCCTTGAGTTGATGCCATGATCATTGGTTCAACTACGGCCAGGTTGTAGAATCTGAAATACTTGCACTTGAGCAACAACAAATTTTCTGGAAGAATCTCCGAAACGTTGGAGCTTTACAAAACCTTCAGGCTCTACGCTTGTGCAAGAACAAACTCAGTGGAGACATACCAACGAGTCTTGGACTACTTGCAAAATATTTTCAAACAACTTTCAATCATGGTAGAGTATAGCATCAGATACAACTAAGCCTCGGCAAGGTAATTTAAAAGGTTACCGGGTAATGCATGAGTATTTACCTTTAACGTATCTGCACCACTACTATCTACTTTTACCTCTTCCTCGGAGTAATTTACCCCATTACCTAGTACAGAGTTAAACCTCCCAATAGTGACATATATTGGTACTTAGGTTTTAAATCACTATTGTGAGGTGTCACTCACAAGAGTAAAGTGCTCATAACCTACTAATAGTGACATACATTAGTGTTAAAATTGAATGTAATTGTTGGGAGGTGCATAATTTTAATATAACCTCCGGATAGTGACATACATTGGTGTTGGGGTTGGATGTCACTATTGGGAGATGTCAATTATATAAAAAAAATTTCATAGATTTCTTATCGTGCATTGCATCAATCCTAAGATTTTCTATAAATGTGTTATTTGGTTTCAAAATGGCCTTCATTTGCATATCTGTATTGTTAACATGGACATTATAATTACATTTAAATTTAGATTAATACATGCAAATCTGAGTGAAACAATTAACGATAATATATGTAGCAAATTTTGGGTTTAGGGTTAATCCCTAAATAATTTCCCGCTCGAGCCCAAATTGACCCTTGCGAGGATAGCTGCCAACTTCCTTCGATCGCTGCTCCCTCGCTCAAGGCGTCGACGAGGATGCGACCATGACGCACTAAAGGGTACTTTCGGAGTTATGCTTCCTCAAAAGACACGGCAAAAGCAAGCAATTTTGTCTTTTGCAATGGTAAAATATTACCCTATAATTACCGGCTAATTTATTTAGCTCTACCTTTACGTTACGCTAGCCCAACCAAGCTTGCCTGGCCTTGCCGAGACCTAGATATAATATAGTGGAAGAGAAACCTCATAAGCTACAACATGGACACTAGTTTAGGTAACCTGATCAACGTACAAGAGTTTGCCAGTTGCAGAGGATATACTTGAACACTTATAACCTTGACTAAGGTGCCCTAATACTTCGTACACGTGAGTAGCTTCCAGATGTAGACGTAGTTGACGGATCAATCAATCAACAAGCACCTGAACGGCGTTCTGAATCTGGTTAGATTGAAGATAGGCATTTGCCAGTTCAAAGGCCCGTTTTTGAAGATAATGCAGCAAATTGGCTACAGATCTCCGATCTGGCTGTCGACAACGTTGACTTCACCGGACATGTACCCCTGACTAAATTGTACAGGTCTGCTGATCGTAAACCTGGGATATAATAACATGAGTGGCGAGATACCTTCCGAGATTGGCATTTTGACAACCTCATTCACTTATATTTTGACGCCGATCGGCCTAACGGTACAATACCCGAAAGCCTGAACAACTGTATGCAACTGAATTACTTGAGACTGAGCTCCTTTAACCTAACCTGTGATTTGTCTCCTTTCAACTTTTCCTGTTTCTCGAATCTACTTCTGCTGTCCATAAACGAGAACAAGTTTATTGAAATTTTTTCTACGGGTGTGTAGCTCTATACAAAGCTGCAACTTTAATATGTAGCTTTTAGATATCTGCCCAGCAATATCAATGCCTCTGTGAGGTTTACCTTCGTTCTTGTGGAGCCGCAGATGCTGAAATTCAACACAAACTCATTTTATGGGGAGATATTTGATCTGTTTTTGGGAGGCGAGCAAGCTGCACGTGCTTGATTTGTGCTTCATCGTTGTGCTTGTTCTTGATTTTGTGTATGGACCTTTCCCAGAAACCTGCATACTCTGGTCGAAATGATCCATCCTGTAGTGGCGGCAACACCGCTGCTTGCCAATCTCTTCATTATATCTACAGTTTTGACTAAGATGTAGACGTTCTACATCTCTGCAAATTGCCTAACGTGTCAATTCCTGATGATCTGAGGGCGTTCTGCTGCCCTACGCTTGGTAACTTTGTGTACGAATGCGTTCCCTGGCACCCTTCCCGAGTCCCTGATAGCCTAGGCAAGCTTACTTTATTAAATTTTTCTGCAAATTAATTGACCGGTCCGATTCCGACAGATTCTGTTATTAGGAGTGTTAGGGTTATGTGTAGGTTTTCTGGAACACTTTGCCCTGCGGAATTCACTCAAATGATCAGTTCCACACTAAATTTAGCATCTGGTCAATTTTCCTGAGAATGATAACCTACGTGTAGTAACTGGTAAACTTTAAACATGGTAAATTGGTAACTTTGTGCTGTTCACTGTAGTTGGTTGTGAATTGACTTGCAATTTTTCTCTCTCAATGGTAATAGTGAAGGTGTTTGTTAGTGATGAGTTTTTGCCTTACGTTTGTTTGTTTAGTAATTAGAAGTTATTTTTCTTTCACTTAACTTCCTCCATTTTTTCTTCGTTTTCTTCAGTTATAAGAAATCATCATAATGGTAATATATTATTCATCGTTTTCAGGATATATGTTATTTTTACTCTACAGTGGTGGGTTTAGATTGATGAAAATGTTTCCTTAGATGTTTACTTTCAGGATCAGCTACAGTGTGAACTAGTTGCAATTTATTTTATTAACAATAATATAATTTCTTTTCTGTTAAATAGTACGATACATAGCTAATTTTCATTTTCTTCTACCTTTTCTAAAAACTTTCTTTTCCTCCCTTATGTTTTTTTTTTGTCCGCTCTGATGATTTCAAATTTTGAGCTTACAGAAAATAGTTTGCAAAGACATATTTATTCGTCTCACACATTAAGATTGTGTAATGAAGATATTGCAAGATATATCAGGATTGTAACTTTAATATACTGTCGTTACAGCGTTTATTTCAAAACATTTTTCCAAGATATACTTGAATTGGAACAAGGCTCCCAACAAATATATAAACATTAAAGGTTTATCAAAAGAATGAGAAGACACAAAACGTCGATATTTTGGTGGTACATCTATCAACGAACCGCTACTAGGCAGCCAGCTAGACCTACTCAATCATCGAGAAAAATATCCCAAAATTGATGATTAGTTTTACGCTAGCGCTACAAAAATTCCTAAAGCCGCGGCTACAACTCCCATCGCTACGGAACTGCTGGCCTTCATCGCTCCATTATCAGGGCCTGATACACATAGAATCAATATTTGCAGTCTGTGGAGGGTTAGATAAACTGTCATATTTACAAGATTCTAGTCAAACAGCTGCGCCAAGTGAAGAATTGGAGAAATAGGGCCAAGGGCTCATTTTCGATACGGGGAGAGAATAGTACCTGGGGGAGGGGGGCTGGCGAGCATTGGGGGAGTTCCAGGGGGAGATCCTGCTGCCGGGGGAGTCATGGCTGCCGGGGGAGTCGTTGGTGTGGTAGGAGTCGTTGGCATGTAGTTGGGAATATCGGCGAGAGCTGCGGGGATCAGGACATGGTTGATGATGTGCACGACAGAACCACAGACAGTGACGTCGGCGGTGACGACAGTTGCGTTGCTCTCCTGGGCAATGATGTTCACCATACCTCCCATCAGGCTCACTGTGAGATTCTTGCCTAAGAGGGTGGGGAGCACTTGCATGTCGGAGAGCTGCGTGGAAAGGGCTGCAACAGGGACGACATGGTAGAGCAGAATGCTGGCTGCTTTGTTACTCTCTCTGCAGGTCAATGAGATTTGCGTCAGTACCTCCACCTTTGCATTCAACAGCCCTCATCTCAAAAACTCAAAAACTTTCGTTAAATTGCGGGCGATGTTGACACTTACGGGGCGGTGACATCGTCCAGAGTGAGGCCGGAGCTGTTCAGAACTTGCAGGAGCTCCTCGAACGCGGCATTGTTGGGGGCGAAGACCGTCACCTCCAGAGTCGGATCGGACAGAGTCTCAGTAAGACCCGCAGCCTGAACGACTTGTCCCAGTAGTGACAAGTCGGGCGTCGCCGCAACAGCGTCGAAAATTGAGGTGTTGCACTGAGAACAAAATTTCATGATATTAGCAGCTGCAGATTCGAGATCCAGAATCTTGACATGAGTTCATCAATGGTTGTACGCATCTCCAATGGAAGGTGATCTATCTTTCTTCGAATGATTCGGCTGTCGATTGACATCGGGATCAGGGATCTAGGCATCTGCGATGAGTCCACGTAAGGCAGTAACATTTCGAGACAGCATCCTACTCGGCAGAAACAGACGGACATCATACAGAGTAATGACGATTGATGTGTTTTATAATCCACAGAATACAACAGAGAGAAGACATGTTTCACATTGGAAATGAAAATCGAGTGCCATGCGTTTAGACTACAGACTGTAGATGAAACAGTCACAGCAGCATACCGACGTGAAATCTGGGTGAGAGTGCAAACTCGTAATCCGCATCGAAGTGCAGGGCTACGTGCGACAACAAACAGACTGCATAATCAAGGGAACCAGAGAAGACGGTTCCAGCGATTTTACCGCAATGACGTGCTAGATATTCAAGGAAGAAAATCTATCTGCTTGTCATCGAGATATATCCACACTGTCATGCAAAACTCGTTCGTAGATTTGCTCGCATGCTGACAAACGCAGGATCCAGTTTTAAACTACTCTGAGTGTCACAGGCTGAAGATTACAAACATAATGTGGAAGCTTTGGTGGGACTTACCGCAGCTTGCGCGTTCAGCTGAGTGGCAGACGCCAGGACGAGAACCAGGAGTAAGGCGATGGCGCTGCGGGCCATCTTGGCGAATCGACAGAAGGTGAGGACGGGAAAATGCGGGAAGGGAGAGAGCTAGTGATCCTTCAGGGCGGACTCGTTGTGCTCGTCTCTATCTTTCTGAGAGACTGAAGGGGTTGTGGGGAATAAATCGCACGGCAGGTCAATCGTCTGTGGCGAGGGACGAACCGGGGGCGGGGGCTTTATGTCAGACGCGTCGAGAGCCTGCCTCGCAGTTTGGAGCCGTACGATCCGTGGGCACGACGTGGACGTTCTGAGTTCCACATCCATGAAGAGCCATAACGCGATCTCCAATCTACGCAGTAGATGAATGTTCCTCGCATTTCCACACAGACGTCCGATGACATCCAAGCTGCTGGAGGGCGCAAGACGACAGGCAGTCCCATGAACTCCGTCGACAAATTTAATGCCCGCTCGATCGGCCCTAGCCATCTTTATCCACTGGAGCTCCAATTCTGTCTCGACTCCCCCTGCTCGCCAGCCACTCATGACTCGTCATGCAAACTTGGAGGAGATTGTGGTGCTAGCTACGCTCCTCCTTTCCCTCGCTACTCTCACTTCATACCAGACGCGAAAGTCAAATGCCGTCGCTGTCCCGTCTGATGGTTAATGCTCCAAGTCAGTGGTTGGTACTATTTTGTGGATATCATGTGGTGGCGACTCGTGGACGCTCGATCGCTTTCACCTTCCGACTTGTATTCATGTACACATAAACTTCGTCAAGTTTGTGCACAACGCAGAAAGCCATCATGGCGTATGTTTGAGCCTACCCTCCTATACAGAGGAGCGTAATCTGGAAAACAAAAGGATTGCAAGAGTCGATTGATGAGCGAGCGCAGGCTCGGGATTATTTCCCTGTAGGCCCCGGTTCGAGAATTCGCTGCGGATTCGTCCGACCAGTCCAATCTATGGCACGTAAGTTGCCTTTTGGTGTCTAGCTGCTGCTGCACAGGCCACTGCAGATGAAACGACAGCACCGTATGTCCAAACGTCATGGCGATGGCTCCTTCGTGGAGTACATTGGTTTACGAGGTACGATGACTACCGCACCTGATGGCGGCAACAAATCTAGCTATGAAATCTAATCATTCGGCTTTCGTCTCGTGAGCTAGTGAGCGCTAGACAACTGCTAGTGTTCTCAATTGACCTAGGAAGAGCTTGGTCTGATACCGAAGAGCTTGCCCGTGATGACTTTTAGTTGACTATATATTTATTCTACAGGTTGCTCTGACTTTGAGTTGACTTATTGTTTGTTTATGTATTTATTTATAGTGTATGAGCACACTAGGAATATGCACAAATTTCCTAAGACTTTCCAAACAGGTTTTGATGGCAACCTAACATGTTAAGGTGCAAACAATGTAAAGACACTCAGAGAAAAGACAAATACTGAAAGCTCAAAGCTCGATGGTCACGGAGGAGGTTGTTTATGGAAATAGGGGCGTCCTAGGCAGCCAACTTTTAGAGGTTTTAAACCTTAACGCATGTAGGACTTCCATTATATCTTGTAAAATTGGTGTCATTGTAAGCATATAAGAATTCGGTAACCCTTACTCCACTTTAAGTTATTACATACATCAGCGGTGGTAATACTCAGAAATGTACTCGCAAATCCTAAACCCTTTACATCCACACGTAAGTTTAATTTAATTGGTTCACACTTCAGTCTATCATTTCCTACCAAAGCAGACCTAGCTCAACCTCCCTTATACGATCCGTATCGTACGAGTATCGTTTCTCAAGGACATACACTGACATGTATCCATACATGGATACATGATGGAGGGACCAAGCAACAGATAGATAGGTAGGTAAGTTCTCTGGATAGATGGGTACTGTGCCTTATCATATGGAACATTGCTGCAGCCATGAAACGAAATGAGTTGAGGGTGGAGACTTCAAGTGTTGGATATATTTGCAAGGCCAGAATATATTTGGTACGGATCCCATAGTCTGAAACTTCCTGCGTCGTTCCTCCCCTACTTTGTTGACCAGAAAGATAATGGCAGTGTAGCACAGCTTCTACCCCTCCCTCGGTACGCGTGATAGATAGGAACACGTAGGCTCTATGCCATAGTCGCAGATAAAACTCCCTCTGAAGCCAAATAGTAAGTCCTCGTCGTGTCTTCGTGTCCCGTTACGATTGCTGGAGTGGCAAAGAAGGAAAGCTTCAAATTCTTAGATTTTCAACTTTGTGACTTCATGTATAGCTTGCAGTGCACCTACGAGAAACGACTGGCACGATTTCTTCGCTTTCGTGCGGTGTCTCATTCTCGCTACGTCATATTATAATGACTGCCTTCGTACTGAGCTCGTAAGCGCTATGAGATCTGATTTTGTCGCAGCAGTGCAAAGCGACTACGTTTGAACCAGAGACCGAAGAACGAAGATTTGTCACGTAGTTGGAATATGGAAGTTACTCGGAGGAAAGATGAGACACAGCGCCGTTGGTTCCAAGAAACGAGTGCAAAGGTGACTTTGGAATGAAGACAACTGCACCTTCGGAGAAAGGCTTTGGTTTTATTTTTGGCATCAGGGACGAGACGAGAGGAGAAGCCACAAAATGTCAGTGCATCCATGGCATCGTACGAAATGCTGGTACATGGGACGGGGTACGGTACTTGGGAGCTCGGGAATATATGTGTCTGAATGTGCCCTGGATCATGAATCCGCCGAATTTAAGGAGGTCAGCAACTAGTCGCACATAGTAAAACGTGGCAAATGCTCGTTAATTGGAAAGTGGAGGGGCAATGGCCCTGCTCAGCGGCCTTGGTGCGTGGACACTCCCGTTATCACAGAAGAATTTCCACAGTCATCATTCAAGCACAGTAAGTGCAATTAATTCTGAATCTGCACGATAAGTCTCGGGCTCGACATCGGTCCCCCCATCCTGTCAGCGAGATCGACGAGAGTGACGAGACAGCATCCCGTTTCTCAGGACCATCGAGCGGTTGACGGATTTCAGTTCTTACATCCCCGAGTCAGCTGGCCGTGAGGGATGGACTCTGGAGAGTTCGTAAAAATGCCCGCACATGACTTCAGTGCTCGGGAGCTGGACACGTAGCGACAAGGCTCCTGCATTTACTATTTCTTCGAGGTCGCAGCTGGCGGATTATCTTGGCGCCTCTTTCCACCGCCGTCCAGTAGTTCCAGCGGCTTGCTATTCGTCTAAATCTTCGGTTCTAACATTAGCGTGCACCCGATGGATGGGTGGATGGATGGCCTGTGACCATGGATCGATTGGATTTCAACTTGCAGGCCTTCGGATACTTCTCCGACGACGACTCGCATTTAAAACCTCAATGTAGTGCTAGGAGTTTCGAGGCTGAATATTTCACGAGATTCAGGTCAAGATAGCGTTCAGCTCGGAGGCTGCTAGTTTGCGGACAGGGGAAAAGAACTTGAGATGTAACGAAGACATTGTGACTTTGTTTGACTGCATGTTACGGGCAATAACTTGAAAGAAACAGATCATTGACGGAGCTGAACCTCTGCGTCCGTCCGTGGCTGAAATCATTCAGTTCTCAAAGTTATGTGACTATTTCACGATCCAGCCGAACACTCTGGAGTTTACTCATAATGGAAGTTGTGAGGCTTGTCTGCCTCATATGACGTGAATGAATCCGTACCACCGAAGTCATGCTCGGTATGGAACACTTTAACCGCATCGACAGTTTTGACAAAAGGGTTTGTGCTGCAGAAAAGACGGTGAAAGACTGGCCCTCTACTTTCCCCACAGCCTTCTCTCGGCGTGTGACGTTGCTACGGTCTGTCCACCTGGAATTTTGTCTGGACGCACGAGTGAGAAATGCATGAATATAAGCAGCTCAAAGGCCGACATCACGCAATCCTGTCCATCCCCTCCACCACGATTATAGCAGTAGGCGGTCAGGGTAATAGGTCTCGAGGGGATGCGAAATTACCTCCCCTACCAGACTGTCGCCGAAGATGCCTCGACCACAGCCCTTTTCCACTGAGAAGTCTTGCCATCGAAGAAATCGAAGACTCACGTCACGGTTTTGGAAAGACCCTGCGGCAGATATTCCCAACCTGGTGGCCAAACTCCAGCCACTTTATGAGTCCCTCACAATAAGTCTCGAATTCTCATAATACTTCCTGGTTCATCATGGTCAGCAAAAGATTTAATATGTGCACCTCCGCTGTAAAGGAACGACACCTTTTCACATGCCGTACCATCTCAACAGCTCGGTCGAAAGCGAGAAGCGCCTTCTCAGAGATCAGACATGCAAGGGAAGCCTTTAATGATAACGGTGCTCTTTCACTCGAGTACTCTTCGCTACCGAGAGTCATGACGGGTCTTCACACTCCACTTTGCGCTCCGCAGTGCAGTGGTTTCACACGACGATCGATGCTTCGAGGTTGTTCATGAATTAGAATTAGAGCAACCCCGATGAAGAGAATTTGCTCTTCTCAGAAAACTACAAGTTAGCCGAAGAACTTCAACTGAAGCAAACACACCATATGATTACTGCTTATGAAGTAGAAAATACAGTAACTTAACAGACTGAAGAGAGCACAGTGCATTCAATCTACAGGTAGATGGAATTACTGAGGAGAGCCAGGGTTCAGGAAATAACAGAGTCATCGTTGTTCACAGGGTTCGAGACTGAAAAGTGTGTGTCTTCGTTCCCACCCGAAGAAAGCTTTTACTCTGATTTGAAGGATGAATGAGCCCAGATGAGAGGCTTGCCTCGAAGCCCAATTTCTCTGCGATTGCAGGGTGTAAGCTTCTCTCATGTTCTCTGACAAGACTTGCAGAGCAATTGTTCGATGGCTGTTCGAAGGATTGTATATGCCGTCAGTGATCGGATGTTGAGTTGGCGTCTTCTTTAAAGAATTATCCTTCGTCGTGATGCAAACGATTCAGCACGTTCGAATGTCGGTGCTTCTCCTTTTGAGGCGTTTATGACAGGGGTCCAAAATTTCTACATTTCGATATAGATGAGAAACATAAGGTTACAAAAATATGTTTGGTCTGACAAAGAGGTTCATCGCGACTGTTGCAACTTTTCTCTCTGCAACTGATTGTAAAGGAACCTCGGATTCATTCTGAACCTGGACGTGGTTACACACCTGTGTCGGAAATTTCCTTACAATTTCGAGGGTACTGTGGTGCACGTGCACTGTGACCCACGCAAGCGTTGTCTCATCTGCCAATTTAAGAGAGTGGAGGACGCGGTGTGCAAAACATTGGAGCGTTTGCTCCCTCTGTATTGTCTGCTTCATGGAGCAATGAGGCCACCTACCGTACACATGTGAACTCTTGGGGCACATGTCCAATCTGCTACAAAGTAAAGGTACACATGGATATAACACACCGAAAGAATTTGGGATGCTTTTTATTTAGCAGTTTTTTGGGTGATAGATATATAGAATTTGTTAATTATTTATAATTTAGAAAAAAATTTATAATCATTTTCTTCTTATTATAATCTGAAGTTAGTTATGTGATCGAACCAAATGATATCTTGTTTTAAAATGACATGCTCAATTTAATTTATAATTGACAAAACATTGATTCATTATAAATCAATATTTTGTCAATTATGAAATAAACTGAATATACAATTCAACTTGTGTTGTACAAGATTTCGAGTAATTTCTACAAGGTCATTGAAATTCAATTGAATTCAATTAATTGAATTTATTTTTTTGGAAATATGATCAATTTTAAAAAAATCTACACAAATTAGATAAACAACTAAAAACTTCAAAGGTAAAAACCTTGTTTATATGAAATTTTAAAAAAATATGAACATTTAACATATTTCTTTTCACAATGTTTTATTTTGGAAAGAACTTTTCATTATTAAATCTTCATTTAATAAAACTTTTCAAAGATCAAGAATCTAACTACTAAACTATAAAAGAAAATGATAGTCTTAGAATTCTTGATAGTTCATTTTAGATTATGCTCATATAATCTCATTACATTTGGCATATATTTACTTAGACACAGTAAGTGCAATTTCATGAGTGATATATTCTATTCTCAAGTATTTAAAATTGCACATTTTATTGTCAATAATTAATTTTTATTCTCCAGACGTTGAGTAAACTGAGACGTGTTGTCAAGACAATCCAAAATTTTCTAAAGTTAAAGTTCTAAAAATTCAATTGATTATATTATAATTTGAATTGACCATGCATATTTACTTTTGAAATCAGATTTACATTCAGGACTAATTTCTTGCCTTTGTTGTCCAAATTTCTAATTTTCAATAAATATGTCAATTCATTTATACCTGATAAATTACTTCTCTTCGATAAAAGAATATATCATAAACCTAGAATATCATATTAAAAAAGAGCTCTCATTTTTTAACGTTTTTATATTTTTACGAGTTGAACAATCTATATAATATAAGTAAACATTATATTTGATCTACTAATTAAACTTTGTATCCGACACTTTACAGTATATTTCAATTTATGGAAATAAACTTTGAATCGATTTCTCTTCAGTGTTACCCTCAACCTAATTGATCATCTATTTTCATTTGATTAATACATGAAGCAGTTATTATGTAGTTGATAACATATTTTGACAAATCTGCAAAATTATCTTTAAAATAAGTTTTTAATTTGATTAATACATGAAGCAGTTATGAAAACAGTTAAAGTTGTTGTTTAGTTGATGACATATTTTGACAAATTTGCAAAATTATCTTTAGAATAGGTTCCCATGTTAACCTCTTAGCTTCCACTCGGGTTAAGAACTTTTCTTATCTTTATCTCATAAAATAAAATGCTCAAGTCTGCATATTTCGGTTACCATTTCTTTCATTTCTAAAGTTACATTTTAATGTGAAAATCTAATAAATTGAACAAGATATTCGAAATAGAACAAGTTTCAGAACATCACTTAATTCAAATATTTTACTTCAAATTAACTTGGGCAATGTGCGTTCATGTGTGTGATCTACGAGCAACTAGAGTATCAATGGTCATAGAAGTGACAGCATCTAAAGATGAAGTCCGTTTATGATCATTCACTCTTTCGCTTGAATGACTTCAAAAGGTTTGCCTAACATCTCGTATGCACGTCGGTGACTTTATCTAGGCTCCTCTTTCATTATCTGTTACACGTAAGTTCATGTTGCGAATATGTTCACATCTGATATGTATAAACCCACAATAAAGTAGTGTTGTCAACTCTGAAGACTCCCATAATAGGGAAATCGGAATGGCTACATGTTAGACTATTGGACGACAATACCAGTTCTAATATGACTGTCTGCGGTTTCATCTACGTACATTTCAGAACCTCGACATTCGTTACTTTCCAAGGTTGTTTTGTCTCAGCCAATCAACTCATATCATGTAGGGAACCAGACAATATAGAAGAACTAAATCAAACACTTAAGACACATAAGGATACAGAATGAACATTCTAGATGCAGACAAGATCGATGACAGCCTCTGTAATGGCGTTCAGATCTCATCAAACAAAAGGTCGTGATATAAAACTGCTGAATGCTTCAGTCGGATCTTTCCGACCAGTGATATGGAAGAGACTCCAAACTAAGGTAGTCGGAGGCAAGCATAGATAAATAACTTGATTCGTCGAAGTGCTCAGGACCATAACTTTCCACTCTAGTGGTATATCCCATCAGCTTATAACCTTCTCCAAAGATTCCATGTCCGATGGAGTAATGATTTTGACCAACATAGGAATTGACTTGTGCCACCTTAAATGTAACTCCTTGTCAAATCCTGTGCAAGTAACTATGCTTCTTGGCCGGAGAACTGCCTTATACTGTGTGAATAACTTAGTCTCGCGCTTATCATTTCGCCAGAAAATTTTCCTCGTTATGATTTCTGAAGAGATCACCTCACAAATCCTTCTACCAAAACATACTTTCCCAAGTCAGTAAATGCCACGTTAGCTACACATACCACCGACGACTGCACCACAGATGATGCAATTTTGATACAAGTGCGGAAATTGTTGTGCAGAAGAACATCGATAACGTTCAGTGTCTGAAGCATTCAATACCTGTAGTTAATTGGGCCATTCGAAGAGAAAAGATCTTAAGTCATGTACAACGAGCAAAACCAGGCTGTCTTAGGCGTACCAAAGAAATATACGAAAAGTTGGAATGCTCTTACACTGACAATGTCAAACGCAATCCGGAACTCAATCCAAATACAAGGGTTGATAGGATGAAAGACACCTTCCTCTCATTTGAACTAAATCAAATCGCCTGACATTAACCTCCGTTCAAAGTAGATACTGACGGCAGCCGCCCAGCGGGCAGTAGCAAACCTCTAAAGATATCATACTCTGCTTCACTGGTTCCGGTCCCAACTAGCAACTGCATCAGCAAGAAAAGAGGTTACGAGGTTGGCTTCTGAAGAGAACCCATACACCTAAAATAACGCATGTTGTATTTAGTAGCGATACATTTGTCCAAACCGCGAACTTTCAAACACATAAACAGACCCTGATCTATAAGTCAGTTTCGGTCTACCTTGTGTGAAACTAGACTGTAAACAAGTAGACTCTTGGCAAATCCAAGACTCCGATCACGCAATACAGGACCCGTGAAGTAACTGTCAAGAAAACACTTATGTGCTGGGAAAGGAAACAGATTCAGCCAAAAAAACGAACGGGACAACTGAGTTGCTGCTGGAATCATACTTGACGAAAGAGACTGGAATGTTCAGATAAATGTACTCCGATGGAATCCACTTGGTCCACAGAGAGAGCTTCAAGGAAAAGCATAACTAGCATTCGCCAATGGTTAACGCCCAGCGCCGGCAATGGTTCCACGAAGCTCATGGTTCGCAACATACGACCCTGTCACACAAAAGAATCTTCTCATGAAAACTTTCCAAAACTAACTAGCATCTTAGCATAAAGTCATGGTGAAGAACATCACTCTGAATCTTTCCTCATGGTTCAACGGTTTGATCAAATTTATAAGCTGACAAACTATATTGCTTGAATATATTCCATATCGATTGCTCCACAAACTCAGTGTTGTGGGCTTGATTGAAACGACCTAAAATGGAACACAGGAATTTCAGCCTTACACATGCTTGCTCAAGGGTAGATACAGGAATCCGCAGCCGAAGAGCTTGCACAACATCTGGTAAGACACGAGCAATGCCAGTCGAAAATGCTTTTGATATCTCAGCAGATAAGCCATCTTCACAAACAACTTGCAAGCTGTACTCCCTTCCATTTACAGAGAGAAAATCATGTTCACAGTCGGCCTCTTTGCCATAAATGAAAGCAATTGTAGCAGCTGAGATCCACTCTTCGAGTGCCATCCAAATTGTGCCAAACATGGATATCTGAAAAAAATGCGAACATACAAAACTTGAGTTCACTATCTGGGTTGACGGCATATTCGAGCAGGAAAACAAGAACCACGTTCAGCACAAAACTTCAACAACGTTGAAATTGATTCCATGTGATCTTGTCAGCTATAATATCTTCATATCGCCAAATCTCGTAAGTGTATGCACGCCGACAGAACGTATCACATTAACGGAATGAAGATACAGGAAGAGAGCTGACCTCAAGTTTGAAATTCTTTGGCGCTGTATCGTGCCACCCACCCTTTGAGCTGCTGACTTCTTCGTCCTCTTCTTCTTGAGGATCTACTGGTGGCCATTTTAAACCTAGCCTGGCAGTTTCTTCAACCTGACTGGCAGCTTCACTCCGTGTATTTGCAGGAAAAGATTCTTCTCGTGTCTCATCTAAAGATAAAATCGACAATCCCGCCCTGGCAACTGAAGTAACGGAACACGAAGAATAAGGATGTATCCGATATGAAGATGTCCTCATGAAGAGCGCGTCATCCAAAAGAACTAATTCATTACCAGCTCCACTACAGGAAAATCATCCAGTCTAGGTAGGCAAGACACAATCAGTAAGGAGGGTCAGAATGCTGAACCCACCAGCTTCCGAGCTCTCAAAGTCCCCGGTGGCAGTTGCATCTGCTGCTTCCATCAAGGCAGCTGCTAAATCCTTCGCTGAAGCAAGTCTCTCGGCTATCTGGGCCTCAGCATCCGTGAATGGTGCCTTTGAGTCCTTGGCTTCAAATGTAGATATCTCACAGTTACTGCTGGAGTCAGGCAACGAACATGCAGTAGCATCCTTCGGAGCTGGGGCTTCTTGGGCTGGTTGGATATCAACGTGACCTGATTTTGCAGGGTTGCTCTTGCCATCCGCAACAACTGTTTTCTGGGTCGTGCTTAGAACCTGCTCTGCTGAAGAAAGTCTTTGGGTGATCTGAGATTGGTCCGCTTTAGATTCTACCTGGGTGCGGTTGCTCTCAGCCTCCGTTCGGAGAGCACCACTTTCAACAGACTGTACAACAAGAGCGAAACCAAACAGCCCACTATAAGGACGATAGTCCAAACTGAGGCGAAAACGCTAAACAGCATTCATTATTGATTAAAGTTTTTCTTTTCCGTGAAGTGAAGAAGTGGAGTGGAGATATCATAATCCTGCTAATGAGAAAGATCGGTGAGGAGGCTAGGATTGTACCGCACTACTGCTTGTCGCTGCTGCACTCTTAGAAGGTTGGGGCAATACTTTGACTTGTCTTCTTGCTTTCGACCCTGATTTCTGCTTTACTTGGGCTTCTACCTTGTGACTTAGCTCTCCTTTGGCCTTCTGATCTCCCCATGACACACTTCGCTTCACAGGGCTCTCAGATTGACACTTCTTCAAGATAGACTTCAGTATGGGAGCGTCTTGTAGAGAGCCAGACAAATTGCCAGTATGCAACGTCAAAGCTGACTTGCCCTTGCTTGGGGACAAGTCATTGCTTGGTGAACTCTTCACAAGCGATGGTCTACCGTCGTTGGTGGTAGTCACGTTTCCAGAGTCTCGTACTGCTGATTCAGGATTGCCCAAAACCCCGGCAACAGATACACTTGCTTGCTGCTGCACATTTCTCCTGAGTCGCCAATCCCTGATAGAGGTGACAGGCGTGTAACCCTCAATTGCATCCGAAGGTCCGGCATCCTCAAAGCTTGCAATTCCTACGTCCAATCGTTCTTTTACTTCGGCGAGAATAGAATCTTTAGACCTATCACTTGGCTGATCCACAGACTTCTTTCCGACCTTGCTAGCACCTGCAACCTTCAAGTCTCGGACGGAGCGGACGATAGCTGCCAGCTTATCCTGCTGTATTAGAGCGTCACGATCAACTTGTAGGCTTAAAGCGAAGGTTTTACTCGTCATCAGACAGGTTTGGCTGCAAAACAAGCCAGTCTCCCGGGTGTCATAGATTTTGTGTTCGCTGACCGATATTCTGAAGCGACCCTTCCGCTTAGATTCTGGCACCAGGGGTTTCTCGCAAAGAGGGTACCCACATCGTTTGTCGATGCTTCTTTCAACGACGACATCCTGGTATTCACTTTGAGTGAGAAGAGCACTGCAACTCTCCAGCTGGACATTGGTCCGCACTCCGTCCAGCAAAAAGAGCTGAATTTCCAAAACAGCCCTCTTGACAGCGTGCAATGCCTGAGCGTGAGACTTTGCTTTCATGACAACTTCATCCACCTTGTTCTCGTCAGGTATATTTGACGAGGTTCCGTCACCATTGACGGACACATCTCTTACTGGGGTGACTTTCGATGCCCGATCACCTCCTGCCCGATGTTTCTTCTTCACTGCTTTCTTCCCTCCTTTCTTGCCGGCAGGCTCGTTCTTACCAGCAGCATTCACGCTCTTGATGATGGGGCTAATTACAACATTTTCCTCGACCCTCTTGGTAGACGCGGTTCCATTTTCATTGCCACTGATGAAAGCTTTTCCATACTCTGTTGTCAATTTGGATGCATTTTCATCTGAAACGGCAATTCTTTCATCAAGCCCATGCACCATGGCAAAAACTCGACGCGCGAAGACGACTACAGAGTTAATGCTTCTATAAGTCCACACACTATCTGCCTCGCACGAATTACTGATTTATAAATTGATTCAAAATAGTGTAGAAGAAACCTAGTCCAATTCAGCACAACATTGCAACCTCCACAGACAAAATCGTCCTGCATAGAACCCCTATACTTTCAGCCGCAAAGTAATGCACTGGCTCAACGAGTTAAGTTCCACTGCAAAACATGCGAGATCCGAAAACATAACGGCGAGTAATTCAAACATTCAGGCAATTTCCTTCAAGGACATCATCACCTTGAGCAGATGATGGATAAGAAAGAATCGGCAGATAAGACGGCATTGTGAACTTCCCGAGACCAACGTTACGACGGATTCAAATCCCTTGCGTGGTGAAAGATTGCAGCATTTGTATCCGAGTCGAAGTGGAGCTGAAAAACTCAAACACTCCGGGTCTTCCACTCCTCGAAAATTCAAAACCCTAGGAGGCCAACACGGGATCAGAAGAAATTAAAACCCTGCAACAATCTTCGTGAAGCGATTAGTACCGCAATTCTTCCGGATCAATGCTTCGAAATGGGAAGAGCCCTTCGGAATGTGCTCAAGAGCAATCGTCCGAAGCCTGTCGAGCACATTTGTGGGAGAGGACCAGCTTTCGAACAGCGAGTCGTGCCGTCATCCTGGCGCGGCGAAACTGGAAACCGGCTGTTTGGAGCACTGCCTCCAAAGTACTCAGCGAGGACTCGGCTCTAGTTTAGCAGGACCTCCATAATAGGCATAAGTACTGTGTTAGAGAATGCTTTGGAGAGGCGATTGAGAGCTCTGAGAGTGGCCCTTTGACGCAAGAAAATATGGTCAACCGGCAAACTACGAGGATCCGGCTTTAATCGAACTATCCCGGCCTTCTTGGACACCTGTGCGTGAACACAAGATGCCGGCACTGTCACGTCGGTAAACGTAAGGGGTTTACACATCTTCTACTTTGACTCCCGTCGGCTATAGACGGTAACGCTTGCGGATGAAGTTTTACACGTGGCGCTTACGTCAGGGGATGACTGGAGAGTAATTTACGATGTTTGGAGTCAAAAAGTCAACGAAAGGAGGGCCCATGGAGACTAAAACTTAGTTTTATACCGTCAATTCCACAAAGCAAGGGGGAGACTAAAAAGTAGGGGCCATGGCTGCACTTTTAATTATTGGAATAATTCTTCAAACCTACTTACTCTTTGAAGGTTACGGAAACCAAGAGGTTGTAATAGAGACGTCTGTATGGTTTGACACAGCTGGTTCGAACTCGAAAGCGTCACCGTATGGTCCTAGAATTTCGCCCCAGGCAAGGCTGATGGAGAACATTGCTATTAGAAGTTAGTCTAAAGAGTAGACGTCTTCATGTTAGCCTAGCCTTCGATATCACAAAGCTGTTCTCCTGGCTTGAAAATTCACTTGTTGGTAAATGAATGCATCCTATGTCACAACAAAGAGTTATTTGTACGAAGATGGATAAAAAATGAGCCACTCATAACAATATTATTTCATAGTTAATTGAGAATATGTGCATTCCCACAAAGTTAATGCATATAGATTATTTGCATCACAATTTGAACATAGAATCAATTGTGGATTGCATATAGACCTATTAAATATAGGTCTATATTTAATACCTAATTTTCAAGTCGTTGAAAAGCGCATCCAAAACACCACTTACATCACCATGAATCGCTAACAAGAACTTACCAAAGCAACCTATGCTAGTCTAAACGTTGCCCGCGCGGCTCTAATGTCACACCTTGCCGATGAAGACTACATCGTGATTGTTTTGCACACCATGCGAGTTGAGAACAACAGAGACGGTGACGTCAATCCAGTGCTTTCCATCCAGCCAATCGGAGCGCGAGAAAAGTATGTAGGGGTTCTTTAAAATTGGGGGTGAGTGGTGACTAGCGACTACCTAAATATATTGTTTCTCAAGATAAATATTAATTTTGAAAACAGAAAATATTGTCTTTACGAAAGAAGTGCTTTATAGTTCTCAAACATATTAGTTTTTCACGTCCATCTTAGTCCAGATGACTGAAGTAGACTTCACCGGTGTTGCCTACAATTCTTGGCCGATTGTTGGTGCAAGGCCGTTTTGGTTTACTATGTTCCCAGAAAAAAAATTCTATTTTTCAAATCAAAAAACGATCAAGAGTTTTGTTACAAAGAGATCATTAGATGATATCATCTATCAACATACTAGTAAGTTGATTGTAAACATAGTTAAATGTTTTTTACAAGACAAAATTACTCTCATTGCACATTTTGAAATGTTTTTAAATGATAATTCTTGATGGATTTCAAATATTTATTTTTCAATAATATAATTTCAGTCATCCAAATTTTGCATCAATTGAAACTATTTTGATGTTTTTCATCTATTCCATCATTGAATTTGTTTATGAAAGTAGCAAAATTTAAGCAAAATTTTTGGTAAGATAAGAATTTTTTGAAATTTTTTTACACAAAAAAATGGTTTATGATTACAAATGTAAGCAATATAGCATTTAAGTATTTCAATGTATAATTAATTAACTTCACAATGTTTCAAAGTATCATTTCAAAATCTACTTAAATCTGCTCTAAAAACGTAATGATGGTACAAATTTGGTTGATGTTTTGAAGATTGAATCTAAATTTTATGATCAATCAAATCCTACTATTTTATTTATTTTAATCTTCAAATTTAAAGATTAAAAATTTATCTAAATATTCAGTATGAATTCTAAATCCATGTTTTTTGATGCATGAGAAAAGCATATCTAGTAATTTGCATCATAAATATGTTTGATACACATAAACTACTTTCTAGCCCAAGCCACAAAATTGAAATAAGGTAGATTGATACATATTATTTAAAACTTATGGAATTTGGTTGTAATAAATCACTTAAAATTCTACAGAAAGAATATGATAATAATTTATAAATAATATATATATATACTCACACTATGTATTTTTTAAATGAATAAAGAAGAAAAATTTTGCTTTCAACCAAAATTATTTTTTATAGAATCATTTAAAATATCTGTAAAATTTGCCACTACATTGCAAAATTGATTGATTAACTTGCTGAAATTTCATACTTGGAAAGAAATGTACTTCAAAATAAAATGATTCTAATATTTTTTTATCAACAAAGATGCTTGAAATTTCAAATATCTCTTTCAAAGCTTTGATTAACAGTTATCTATGAAGCATTTTTTCTAACATAAAAATGGAAGTTTTCAAGATCACAATTGCTAATTGCTGTGATGCAATTTATGCCTCAAGGAGCAATCATTGTGTGATTTAGAATAAAAACTTTATAAATATAACCACTTATTGACATCTATGAAATATCCAAGGTTTGACTAGAGTCATGGTTTATCTTTTCATGTGATATTAATATTTTTTATCACACAAATTCAGAATTTTGAAAAATATTCAATTTAGAATAGCTGCAAACTAGATAAATCATTGACGATGTGAAATCATATAAATTTAAATTTATATTATGTATGAAATTTAAATTTGTGTTATTTGTCAAGGTAAGTGAGACTGCAAAAATTTAAAGTAGATGTTAAAGAAAAAGGCCAAAATTCTTCAAATTTTTACATGGTTTGAATTTCTTTTCATAAAAAAACATGTTGGTTAGGAGTACTCGTAAGCATCATCTCGTCCGAGAAATTTGACTACGCGTGCGAGATTCAAACAAGCTGGAACTAATTTTCCACGGTTAAAGTTACACTTATGATTCAAAGACGTTGTCCGACCAATGTGGAAAAAAAAAGACCATTCAATTATTTAGCTCCATCTGGAATCATAATCCCATAACCATAATCCTCTAGTGCTTGAACATGTACTTACTTGGTAGTCCATTGGTGACCTGAACTGTCTATCAAAACGAATACGAAGGAGATTCCTATTCATAGGTGTAGCTCGGCGTAGAGAGGTTTTCAATCAGACTTAAATGCACCGACTCGGAAAACACACCGCTGACAAAAAATTGGATTTTCGCATCAACATGTCTAAACTCTCAAATTTGATATAGTAGCGTGGTTACTATCAGATTGTACGGTAATTAGCAAGCACGATGGCCCAGCAATTGTGTGGGCCAAATCTGGCAGGGCGGACTATCACGATCTAACTTCAAAAAGTGGCGTTTTCAAATAGTCTTTGTATTATTGATACAAGAAGGCTTCCAATTCTCTAAAATTTCAGGCATATTAATTATCTCTACGGTTCCCACATCCTCCTCACTTACTCTTTCTGCAAATCAAGTCTTAAGTCTTGTGTTTCTTATAAATTTAAGTTTCACGTTGTCAAAGTTTCATAAGAACTGCATAGAACATGTGTACTGACTGAATAATGAATAAAATTCACTCCATGTGCAGAGCACATACTACGTCAAAGATGCTTGAACAGTTTTCACTTTGAACAAGAATCATGACTGCTCCCGCTAATCCAAAGAATATCTTGGCTGTTGAAGATAGTGCATTGAATTAGACAAAGGCACCAATTGTCTTGAAAGTTTGAATAGTCAAAGCCGTGGAAGGCATGTCACATTTTTGGAAGTAAATTGTGAGGCGGCCAACACTTGTCTCCAACGGCGTTTTTGGAAACTTGTGGTCTGCTAGGGTTTCCTAGCTATATAAGGAACTTGCAAGATTCATAGTGATTCATGCTCTTCATTGTAATCTTTCTCTCAAGGAATAAAGGCTCCTCTTTGTCCGTGGATGTAGCTAGCACAAATTGTGCTAGCAAACCAAGTAAACTTCTGTGTTTCGTCTTTCGTTCATTATCGTGAGGTAGAATCAAGCACGTAAAATCATAACAAACTGCTATCAAAGCGGTGGAGACACACGACTAGGGCTGTGGATCTACCAAGAACGATGTAGAATCAAGCACGTAAAATCATAACAAACTGCTATCAGAGCGGTGGAGACACGCGACTAGGGCTGTGGATCTACCAAGAACGATGTGTGGAACGACGTTGAAGATTGAGAAGTTCACTAGAGGGAATAGCTTTAGTTTGTGGAAGATCGAGATGGACGTCATGTTGAAATCACAAGGCATATGAGCACCTCTGACCACAGATAAGGTAGGCATGGATGTTGCATCATCAGAGTACAAGTTGATGGAGGAAAAGACACATTCAAACATCATGTTGTGCATATCAGATGACGTGATCATGGAGGTCATATGAGAGAAGACGACAGCTACGTTATGGCTCAAGCTGGAGAGTCTCTACATGACAAAGTCACTCACCAGCAAGCTCATGTTAAAGCAATGATTATTCACTCTGCGAAATAATGAAGGAACTACTCTCAAATACCACCTTGATCGATTAAATTCAATTCTTCTTGACTTGCGTAACATCGACGGGATGGTGAATGATGAGGATGTTGCACTCCTTCTATTGATCTCGTTACCTTCATCATACAAGAACTTCGTTCAACCCTTCATTGTTAACAAGTACAGCATATCACTTGAAGAGGTGAATTCCGTTCTTCATGCTAGAGAGATGCGTCAGGTGGGCACAGGCACAAGCACAGAGGACCATGCTTACGGACTTATGGCAAACAAAGGAAGCAAGAATAAGAAGAACAAGAAAAAGCAGTTTTCTGATTCTAAGTTACCTAAGGACGTATGCACTAAACCCTTGGTGCAAGGAAAAGTGGCACTGGAAAAGATATTGCCCGAAACGAGGACATCAATGACAAAACGGATTGGCCGCCATGGTAGAAAAGGATAGTTCGTATGGGAACGATTATGTTCTATCGATGGATGATATCACACACCAGTCGGATGTGTGGGTTCTTGATTTTGAAGCATATTATCACATCTGCTCTTACAGGGAGTTGTTCTCAAGCAATTGCCAAACAGATGGAGGTTCCGTTCACATGACGAATGGAGCTGTTTGCAAGGTAATAGCAATCGGCTCAGTTAGATTCAAGAACCATGATGGGAAGACATGTACTTTAAACGAGGTTAGACACGTACCACGCATCACAATGAATCTGATTTCTTTGAATCTACTTCACAAGAAGAGCTTTAGCTTCAAAGGTGAAGGTGGAGATCTATGCGTCTACAAGGATTTGAAGGTACTGTTCAAGGGAATCAAAGATAACACTTTGTATGTATTACAAGGTTCGGCGATCACAGGGTCAGTATGAGTTGTCTCAGCTGAGATTCAGGAAGCTGATCAAACAAGGCTATGGCATATGAGGCTCGGCCATATGAGTGAACAAGGAATGTAGTAACTTCACAAGAAAGGCTATCTCGTCGGAAACAAGCCGAAGAGCCTAGGGTTTTGTGAGCACTGTGTGATTGGGAAGCTACAACATAGTAAGTTTCCAAAGATGGTTCATAGAACGAAAGACACTTTAGATTACATGCATATTGATTGTTGGGTTCTGACTCGAGTTGAGTCGATTGACGGTCACAGATACTTTCTGAGCATTATTGACGACTATTCAAGGATGATTTGTATATTTGTGATGAAGCACAAGAGTGATGCATTCGGCAAATTCAAGGAGTGGAAGACATTAATGGAGAATCAGAAGGAAAAGAAGATGAAGAAGCTACGCACAGACGACGGCTTGGAGTTTTGTTCATCGGAGTTCGATGAATTCTGCAAAGATCAAGGAATAGCTCGCCATCACATTGTTCGAGGGACACCACAACAGAATGGTGTAGCGGAACGGATGAATTAGACACTTCTATCGAAGTCACAATCTATGCTTTCGAATGCAGATCTTGCTAGGCGTTTTTGGGGAGATGGAGTTTCTATGGCTTGCTATCTTGTAAATCGGAGTACTCATACTTGCATTGGATGCAAGATAACCATTGAGGTATGGTCCAAAAAGGCAGCAGATTATTCAAATCTAAGGGTTTTTGGTTGTGTTGTTTATTATCATGTGGGTGATGGCAAACTAGAACCGAGGTGAAGAAGGGGGTATTCATGGGCTATGGAACAAGTGTGAAGGGTTACAAGATTTGGCCCAATGGGAAGATTATACTTAGCAAAAATGTAGTCTTCAATGAGACTTCGATGCTGAAACCTAATACCGTGGAGATAGAGGTTAAAGTTGAAAAGAAAAAGGTGGAGGCAAGTTCAAAGAAATCCTAGATATTCTGAAGCGCCTGGTCCATCACCGCCAGAAACAAAAGAGCAAGAATTGGAAGAGTCTGAAGAGGATATACCATTAGAAGAGTTGGTACATGAGAGTTTTGCTGCACGTCGCACACTGAGGGATAAGAAGCTGCCTACAAGACTAAAGAAAGACTACTTGGTGGGGTATGTCTTGCAAGTAGCCGAAAATGTGGAAGATAAGCCATCTACCTATCGGGCTGCGATTACTTGTTCCGAGTCAGCACAATGGATTGCCGCTATGGAAAAAGGCATGGAATCTCTTAGCAAAAACTCAACATGGGAACTTGTACGATTGCCACTAGGGAGAAAGATAATCACTTGCAAGTGAAATTTTTAGAAGAAAGAAAGTAATCACTCCAACGGAAGGCGTCAAGTATAAAGCAAGAGTAGTTGCAAGAGGTTTCAGTTAGAGAGAGGGAGTTGACTACAATGAGATATTCTCACCGGTGGTCAGACATACTTCAATCAGGATGCTACTAGCAATGGTGGCACATCTAGACTTAGAGCTTGAAGAACTAGATGTGAAGACAACTTTTCTACATGGAGAGTTGGAGGAGTAGATATATATGAACCAACCCGAGGGGTTTCAAGTCCATGGAAAAGAAGACTACGTGTGCAAGTTGAAGAGGTCCTTGTATGGACTAAAGCAATCTCCGAGGCAGTGGTACAAGAGGTTGGATAGCTTCATGCTAAAGATAGGCTATCGGAAGCATGAGTATGATTGTTGCGTGTATCACGAGAAGGTTGCATGATGAATCACGCATTTACCTAGTTCTCTATGTGGATGACATTCTGATTGCAACTCAGAATATCAAAGACATTAGAGAACTAAAGAGTTCTCTCAATGCAGAATTCGAGATGAAGGATCTGGGGATTGCTTGGAAGATTCTAGAAGTTGAAATCTATAGAGATAGAGAGATTAGTAAGCTTTTCTTGTCACAGAAAAGGTACATCAGAAAGATCTTACACAGATTTGGTATGCAAACCGCCAAGTCTAAAGATACTCCTATGGAGTCTAACATCAAGCTAGGAATGTACACCATTCAGACCGAGGAGTAGAAGGAGTACATGTCCAAGGTTCCATATGCTAGCGCAGTTGGAAGCCTGATGTATGCTATGGTGTGGTGTGGTTAGTTGTTTTATGGCTCATCCAAGTAAGAAACATTGGCAAGCCATGAAGCGTATATTTAGGTATCTCAAGGCTACGTCAGACATTGGCCTTTGGGGTTAATGAGGATATCTTGGTTGCTGGATTCTCAGAGTCAAACTATGCAGGTGATATTGATAGTAGGAGATCGATGAATGGATATGTGTTCACTATGAAAGGTTCCGTTGTGAGTTGGAAGGCTACGCTACAGTCGACGGTGACTCTGTCAACCACGGAAGCGGAGTACATGACTTTGACAGAAGCAGCAAAGGAGGGGATTTTGTTAAAGCATATTATCAACGATCTAGGCCTACATCAAGATCCAGCGATAGTTCATTATGATAACTTAAGTGCGATATGCTTGACGAAGTATTAGGTTCATCATGAGAGAACGAAGCACATCGACGTAAGGTATCATTTTCTGAGACGGCAAGAGCATGATTAAGATAAAGAAAGTGGGAACAGCTGACAACCCTGCGGATATGTTCACGAAGCCGGTTCCAAAGAACAAGTTCCAACATTGCTTGGAATTGCTAAACATTATCAGCCAGTGAGGTACTTCAAAGCCATGACGAACCCAATGGGGTTAAGTGAGTCTCTGTGACGAGAGACACTTGGGTACAGAGAAGACAAGCTTTATTCTCGAGAAGAGTAGCGGAATTCAAGTCAAGGTGGAGATTTGTTGAAGATAGTGCCTTGAATTAGACAAAGGCAACAAATTGTCTTGAAAGTTTGAATAGTCAAAGCCGTGGAAGGCATGTCATATTTTTGGAAGTAATTTGTGAGGCGGCCAGCACTTGTCTCCAACTACGTTTTTGGAAACTTGTGCTCTCCTAGAATTTCCTAGCTATGTAAAGAACCTACAGGATTTGTAGTGATTCATGCTTTTCATTGTAATCTTTCTCTCAAGTAATAAAGGCTCCTCTTTGTCCGTGGATGTAGCTAGCACAAATTGTGCTAGCGAACCAAGTAAACTTCTGTGTTTCTTCTTTCGTTCGTTATCGTGAGGTAGAGTCAAGCACGTAAAATCGTAACATCGGCAAAACGAGAATGCACAAGCAACCCAAGGTGTAGGCCAGAAGCATCAACAATGTCCACAGATATTTGAGTAGAATCCTGTATTTACCGAATTTGTAATGGACCGGACTCCTACCATTACAAAGTTTACAACACTCCCAACGTCATCCAGAAGTGTAATGTGATTGAAGTCATTGGCGCTTGACGAGATGCTAGGCATCATCTTCACTTCATCTAGCCACTATGATACACTCGTGACTCGAGCATTGACTACCCTCAAGTCGTTGGGGCGCCTACTGTGTCTAACGAAAATCAGATTTAATTCCCTAAAAGGTGTAGAATACAACTAGGGCTTTAGACCTGTTTTCAGGGACCCTGCATAGAAGCTCTCCCAATGTCAAGGTCCGAGTATGATGTTACGTGATTTCTCAAAGGGCATGATAATTGGAATCGTGGAGCTGCTGGCCGTCAATTTCGATTCCAGACTTATTTCAGAAACTCGAGATGTTTCAATTGATCTCATAGCTTGCATTGCCATCTCGGAGTGAAGCTGGACACACGCCATAGCGACCTGCAATACCCATCAAAGCTTAGAAAGGTGTTGGTTCTTGACAACGTTCTTTACACTCTTACTTCTATCTCTTAAGGAAGGAAAATACTGAATCGGATTTTGTATATTACCATTGTGCACTCTTTGTCAGAATCCTTATTCGCGATATTCAGTGCCCATTCACGAACCCACTCCAGGTTGTTGGCCATGCTTGCGACTCCGCCCGTGAGAGATGCCACGACGTCAGACGGATTCAAGGCGCCTATCACACAAGCTGCAGCGAACAAGGCAGCTCTACGCACAAAGGGCTCCTTATGATTAGAGATTTCCCTGCAATATTGATCACACGTCAAGTTAATGCTCCTCCTCAACATATCTGGTCTGGAAACATATGTCAACGACTTCTACACGTTGGAAAGTCTGACCAAGGAAACTTGGCGGCTATAATCCTACATTTGTCGCTTCTTACTTTCAGTCCATTAAATGACATAAAAATCAGCAAATTTGCACACTATATTGATCGACCCAATATTGCCCTACACTAAAACCCAGAGATGAAGGATGCAGAAGACCGTGAAGTCTACTACTCTACTCAAACTGGGGTGTTAAAATGATTTGCAAGGACCACAATACAAGTACAACCGTTATCGCGTAACGGGAAAAGGGAGTGGGGACCATGATGAAGATGATCATGAAGGTCTCCTAGAGATCAAGATCTAGAGCGTTTATGTAAGCTAGGTAGTATAAACTAGCCATAAATCGAGTGGAAGAGTGAATATATTCTTATTAGTTCTAATGCAGCAGACAGCGAAGTCTATTACACTACTAAAACCGAGGAACTGCCAAGGGCCACGCAATTAGTACAATGCAATTATACCGCTCATATTGATCAACCCCTAGAGAGTTAATGAGATTTAGGTAGAGTAAACTAAACACAACTCGAGCGAAATAGTGAATATCTGCTAAAAAAAATTTTCTACAACGATCTGATTGCATGAGCTTCAATGACTTAATTCTTAACAGCAATACGAAACTAAAGTAATTGTTTGACATAAGAAGACGTCGATCTAGTAGGAGGTACGAAATGAAGTAAAGTGCAATATAGAAGTCCACGCTCAATTCATGGACACCCTTACCTGGATCTCAATAGCTCCAAAAGACCCGCACCCAAAAGAGCTGCCTCTGGCTGCAAAGCAATGCACTTCATGCACTCTGCCAGCATTGACAATGTGCTTCCAAGTACAAGATAATCTCTTCCAAGAAGGTCCACACCATGCCTCTTGACGTCATACTCCCGCATCACTGGCAGCATGAACATTGGTGCTAGGGCAGCAAATGTATTACTCTGAGGTAATGTAGGACCTTGTATCCTGCCTTCTTCGCGCAGCTGCATGGAGCGATGGGCCCATCTACGCGATGTTCCCACGATTTTCTGATCATCTCCAGAAGGAAGTTCCCTCTCGTAGCTAATACCCCATCCAACATATCTATCTCCAAGCAAGGGCGATGAAACCTCCTTCCAAGGGCCGGCACCTCGAGGGCGAGGGCCACCACCGGGTCCCATCCATGAATTGCTTTGCATGGCTGTTGGCACGTTCTCTATCAACTGGATCTCTCTGCTTTCACTCGCTTTCTTCTTCGCATAGACACCAGAAGCTATGGCCCGTGCCCCAGCTGGAGTTGCAGAAGATAACAAAGCACACAGGTTTACTTTCTCAACATTTGTCACAAAATAGTTTTCAGACACAGTTTACGATTTCCTTTGAGGTACAGACCTCAGAAGAGATAGGGAGCATATACATAAAGCAAAAATCCCTAAACTTTTTCACGGGTCTCTTCTAGCGAGACCAGTTCTTCCCTAGCGTACTAGTAGATTCTAAGAAGGTGCTATGAAGAAGAAAAAAAGTCTTACCAGCCATCACTTGAAGAATTAGGATACGCTGGCTCACATCTATATGGGGTGAAAACAATTCCGCTGTGAGTGATGTAACCGTCTTAACCGGTGAACATGAGAGCAAAACTACAAGTGCTTGCTGTTGTCTTCTCTCTGCAACATCCTCTTCACCTTCGACAGCAACAGAGCTACACTTAACATGCAGCAAAGCATGTGCAAGATCTGCTGCGTGCAGGTCCAGTTCCTCAGGCATGGCCAGCACAAGTTTCTCAACAGCCTGAAGTGCTTTCTCGACCTGAATAAAAATTTTAAAGAACAAACAACCATGGCAGGGCAGTAATGTGAGAAGGGAATTTTACTAAGTGAAGATGTCTCCGTTGTTTCAATCTTTTGTCTGCTTTCTCACGTACGAAATGATCTACCTGTTTACAGGACTAGAAAGGGCGTGTCCTCATCTTTTGAAATAGGCAAGTTTTAATTGCATGGATCTCATCTAGGCTTTATAAGAACTGCACATGAATTTATCAGAAACCTAGGAGGTACTTGGAAAGAAGCAGACAGGAAATCATCCCAAAGTCAAGCATTATCAGATAATCATCACGATATACTATCGAGTCATCACAACTAGGTCTGCATCTTACCATTTCTGGATTATCAACCTTCCTTAGGTAAGTTACACAATCCTCTAGTTGTGTCGGAGCCTTGACCTTGGAATTATCCTCAACTTCCTCCGGCATATCGTATGGAACGAATTCTGAATCTGAATCACTGTCCATATTCGAACTCAATTCACTGTCTTCGTAAGAGAAATGCTCGTCAAGCGTCACCACTGCGTCTGGGTCATCCTCCTCAAGGGCTAACTTCTCCTTCTTCTCTTTTCTTCTCCTGCGTTGCTCCAACTTCTCCTGTTCAAAATCATTACCTTGCTCTGGTACTACTGTAGTATGTACTCGACCTGTCAACTTGTTCGTATCCAAGGCCTCTTTTTCGTCGATCTGTGGTGCAACACTGTTCAGATTTCTACCGACCATTTCTATCAGTCCCTCCCAATTCTGGAGTTCTTGAATGGTGTCTTCCTCATCTAAAAGTAGAGGCTTGCTTGGATCCATTGACAGGGAAAATTCAAGAGCAATTCTTTTTGCCATTTGTCGTACGGGATGAAGGGGGCTATCGAGTCTATCTGAAGACAAGATACATCCACACACAAAGACCATAAAAATAAGACCTATTGTTGATGCATATGCTTGAATGAATTTCGGCAAAGAAATTAACACATATACGACAAGAATATTCGTCTAGCCTTTAAAAACCATGTCAATTGAGTAGTAAAACATCGCGAAAGGCATGAATTCTAGTATTGCTGTCCTGGATGTTTTGCGCTTTGACAATTGATACACTTCCAGGAAAATGTCGTGGTCAGTGCTTCAAAACAACTTACTGCTAATTCCTTTCAGTAAACACTGGACGAATCCACCGATGCTTTGAACATCATTCCTCTTCATAGCTCCCAGGCACAATCCTACTGCTGCGGTCACATCTGTTCTCCTTTTGTTAAGGATACTTGCTCAAATACATCTCAAGCAGGGTTCAAAATTTCGGTTGAGACTTTTCCAGCGCGATAAGACTGATGTGGGAAGGTAATCTAAACTCAAAACAAACATAATAGCTTCAAAGGCTTGACGTTTGTGGAAACTATGCAGCTTAACAGCAGTTACCTAGTAAAACAAATTCAGTTGTGGGTACATCAAACCATTATCCGCAAGGATACAGGCCTGTTGCTCTACTGGTTTAGATTGAACAAACTCTTTCATCGCCCATGCCTCTACCAGGTGCATCACAACATCCTTCTGGATTGTGCTATATCCAGACCTGTTTGGCAGAGTAGATTCTGCAGTAGGTGGGTAGCACAACACTGAGAAGAGAAGAATCCATCTTAGACAGCGTAGGGGTAGAACCTTCCAAAGTAATAACTTCTCGGTAAAGAGGGCTCTGCGGATAACATACACAACTATCAATTAAATTCATATTAAAATTTCATAGCTATTTGGTGTCATGTAAGCTGTATTTAGCAGTAAATAACAATCCAGAATATGTGAAACACATGAAAAATTTACCGTGTCGCTATTTGAACCTGGAAAAGGTTTCCGTAGAAAGCATGCAGCACACAGTAGGCTTGCCAATCTGTTAAATCTGCTCTAGCTGCCATTTCCCTCAGTAAAGCTTCGGTCAACCGCTCCAGGGCATATGAATCCTTAAAACATAAAGCCAAGGAAGGCCAAAAGCTACATAACAGCTTCTCCAAGACTAGATCCACCTGTACGCTAGAGAATTTCGCTGTATCACCTTCGCCTTGACTGTCTAATGAAGAAACAATCACATGTCGTACAAGAGAGGGAACCATCTGCGAAGCAATCACGTCTAGCCGTTTGTCCAAAATCAGTTTATGTGGATGACCTCGATACGGTAAGATATCTGAACCAAATCCAACCCCAATGGTCCCAAAAAGTAGAAGAGTGACATACAATATGCAAGGACATAAAAACTGTCGGAGTGCCAAGGAAAGCAGTCCACCAAGATGAAAATTTGAAGCATGTCTCCTCCTTTACAATGCAACAGGCGCAGCATGAAAGGCAAGTACATCACAAAACCAAAATGGAGTGAACGGAAGGCATTCAAAAAAGCACTTTGGAGCATATTATATTCCTTGGCGTTTAAGTGCAGCCCTCAGTCCATGACTTGTTTGAAGTCATAGAATGAGGGCGGGTAGCAAAAGTCTTGTAAACTTTACCTCCCTGCCCACGTCTGCAAAGTTTCGCGAGGACTTCACCCACAAACTTAATGGTTGGGTCATCCACAGAAGGCTGAGACGGACTGGTATATCCATATGTGGACTTCCAGTGCTCTTCGGCCGCAGCGAATAATTGTTTAGTAACCCCTTCATAGTAGACACTGCGTTGATGGTTAAGGCACTCACTGGCAGGATGATGCATTCATATTTACTCTGTGACAAAAGAAGAGGATTCCAGGCATCTGGTATTTTGTTACAAGATTGATAAGTAAACTGGGAGGTAGTTAGCCACCGCACTACTTCAAATAATGTCCAGCCACACCCAAAAGTATATCAAGATAAAGCAAGAACACGAACTATAAAATTGCAATCATTGCGCGAAGAGGGATACGGAGACTGCAAAGTCGAGGGAGCCAGCAAACTTGCCCTGTCAGGTACTGAGGATAGCAGCTGCGCAATTTCCGAATTCTTACTCCCTAAGGCTGAAAAGTTACCCTCGGGATTAACATCACCTTCTTGGAATTTCACTGACGTGAAGGAAAGAGAAAGTGCTAATTTTTGAACTCCCTGGGTTGTGATGACGATAACAGCCAGCAGCCTGTTTGGGTCAACAAGTACAAATTGGAATTTCACGAGAAAGATTTGTGGCATACACTTCACAGTCAACTCCCTGAAGAACTCAACAAAGACATGTATTCAATACATACTCCGAGTACCTGACCAGCGGAAACTTGAGGAATCTTCAAATGATGCTCTATGTAAACGGCAGCAGAACATTAAACTTCTGCAAAATGATAAACGTACCTTTCGGCTTGAGAACGGATGACACCATGTATATCGTCTGCGACAATAGCTTCACTAACTCCATCACCGTAACCCGAAACCAGATGGTCATCTCTAACAGGAACAAAATAGTCCTGGCTTAATGCAGGTATCAGCTCTAGTATTGCTTCATTAAGAGGTGCTCGAATGAAGAACTCATCGAACAAGGTTTTCTGTTCTGCTAACGAGAAGCAGGATAACCAATGTACAGCAACTTCTGTAAATAAATCAAATGTCAGGTTTCTCCCTTGATTCTCTTCATTCCGCTGTTAAGGCCTTGACCTAGACTTAGCTATTTTCTGCAAAAATTATGAGCTAGAATGAAAGAAGTGATTGCGATTTCAAGATGTACGTGAGGGTAAATAACCTTGGAGCAGAAGTTGAGCGAAGATGCCAAAAAATTGTCCGCCAAAAAATACACGATTTATAATTTCTTTCCAAGAAATTTCAGGATGTGCAATCGTAGCTCTTTCTGTGCACAGTGCAGCAAGCTGGAAAACATTTCAACAAACGAGAGCTAATTAGCCATCACTATCAGCAACATACAATGGAGAACAACTTCATGCAACTTGGAACGAAAAAACAAAATACCGCACAGAGAAAGAAATCTCAACAACACAGTACCTGGTCCAAAGATGTCGGTGCGACAACATTCTTCTGTTCAGACTCTGTACATAAATGTTTCAGCCTCAGAAACGAGTAATGTGGGGAAAACAGAAACAATACAAGCGTTTTGAAAAGACTAGTATCGACCAAAAGTGACGCAAAGAAAACAAAAACTATTACCAGGATTATTTTTTTGGTAAGGACTCCAAAGCAGTGAAGCCACCGAGCGAAGTGCCCGAGTCACTGTGTGGACGGTTTTGGCACCACGTATACTCTGCGCTACATCTAGAATGAGTTGTTCAAGTGCACTCTCCACGCTCTCCATCTCCGAACCGACCTTCTTCATCAGTCCTGACACGTGGCCCACATTTCCAATCAGGAAATCGACACATTCTTTCACGATACTCCACGATTTATTCAACCGCAACTCGAGTTCATGTCTAATGCCTGGTCAGGATCCAGCTAAACCCTTAACGCTAAGGCGAGCTCGAGTCGATGATCAGAAAGCAACGGGCCGGCGGGGATTGTAATCAAAAGCATGTGGCGGGACCAACATTCGTACCTTGAATTCCTCAGGCCTCAAGCATTACTTGATCCTTTTCGTACAAGCATCCTCCCCAAGCATGACTACACACTCCTCCCATAAGCCCTGGACAGAAGGGCGTGCGCAACATATCTTCTTATCAGAAAGAGGAGCGAGGTTAATGACAGCATTGGATCTTCCACACTCTCCGTCCGTTGCCGGAGAATTGCCGGGAACTGCAGCAGGTGCATTGGTAGCCTCGCTCGTAGTTCCCTTCCTTCCTTATTGGATCTCAATTCTTGGGAAGTCTGTCTCTAAAAGGCAAGAATAGCCACGAACATGACTGGACTGCTCTCCAAATTCGGCCAGATCATGCCGAATTCGTCAATGAACACAACACCCACTGTCACCACCGAGCGAGACCCCATTCCACTGTCGCCTGTCGTCCTGCCTCGTCAAAACCTCGGTCGCAAAAACCTCTCATCTTCCGTGATGCGGCCCACGATAAATGTCTCGTGAGCAGGTCCCAGCGAAGAGCTTATTAGATTCTAACCTGCCCTGGCGTCTTCTCAAATGACCATCTGTAACTGGCCATTGGGCATCGGGCTTCGGTAGGCCGTCGAACTTCTACATGATTCCCCATTCATAAGTACTAGTGCTTCCGCATCATGGTCTCTTTCACCGTCAAATCTTCATGCATTCAAGCCTGTTACACAATCCCCCTGCAACATGCAACGCAAAGTTACATTGTTTTTCCACATAAATTTTAAATAGAAAAATTTTCCAATATCTGCAATAATCAGAAGCAACGGTGTAATCAAAGGCGTCTGGACATTCCTAACAGAATCCCTCAGAGCTCATGCATTTTCATTTTAATACGTACTGTAGTTTAACATCCCAAAGAGAAGGTATTCAGTTCTTGTGTGGGAATAAATCTAAATAAATACCAGATTTATATGAACTTTTAATAAGTCACATGTCTCCGACAAAAATTCTATAGAAATTAGGGCTTGTGATGAACTCTTGTATCTCCGAAGGATATAATCATTCCATGATTGGATAGAAAATAATGGTTTGAAGAATAGATGGAAGCGCACGATCATTCCAGATTTATAACGTGAGTGATTTGTTCAAGCCTCAGCGCCAAAATAGTTGCAGAAAATATGACAGCGAGAGCTCGAAGTTCAAGCGGCCTATATTTTTTTGGCATGAAGATGGATGGACTCCGAGTGATTTGGAGACCAAAGCTGCTCATGAAAAAGAGACCTGTACGGATATTTGGACAAGTGGAAAGCCAGGAGGACGCAAAAAAGCTTCCTAAAAGGAAATGTCAGCATCGCGTCAGACTCCCGAGATCAAGATCTGACCAATGAGCGCGAGTGAGGAGTCCACGTAGAGGGCGACCTTTGCGTTACTTTCATTCAACGCTTGGCTCGAGCGCCTACCGAAACCCGGTGCCTGAGGGCCCTTCCAGGTGGTCAGTTGGGAATATTCCCAGAGAAATAGAATCTTTACGACTCCAGGGCTACCTGCCCTGCAATGGGACCTTCGTGGGAAACATTCATCGTGGGCCACATCACGGAAGGTGGGAGATTTTGACGAGGCAGAGAGGTGATGATGCAAGCGGGCATCTGTGGTGAGAGTGGAAGCTGTCTTTATTGTCGAATGGGGCATCAGTTTGTTGATTACTGAGGACGATCCGTGGTTAATCTTGTCTTGTAGAGAGTGAGTTGCAGAGACTTGTAGTTCAGGTACAGAAGGAAGGGGAAATATGAGGGACGTTACTAATGCATCTGCCACAGCTCTCGGCAATTCTCCGGCAACGGACGGAGATTTCGGAAGCTCCAATGTTGTCAGTAACCCCGCTCCTCTTCCCAAGAAGAAGATATGTTGCGCATGCCCCTCGACAAAGAGGTTACGTGATGAGTGCATAGTCATGCATGGCGAGGATGCTTGCAAGAAGTGGATCAACGCTCACAAAGAATGCTTGAGGTCGGAAGGATTCAAGGTACGATTTTTGGCTCTGTACATACCTTTATTTACACCGGTTCTCGTAATATCTGATCGATTCGGAAAATTCGTGTACAAGTTTTTAAATTTGTGGTGCGTGTAGTAGGGAGATTTTGTAGCTTGAATACATGAAGTCTTTTTTCTCCTTTCAGGTTGAGGACAGTGATTGAGAAATTCATGGCGATCTACTCTCGCAAATATGTGCAGTTTCATCTGTAACAAATTGTCGTTGGCTGGAACCCTAATGACAACTGAATCTTTTTTTGTCGTGAGTGATAGTTTGATCTGCTGGTTCAAACCCTTTTGTTGCAATCAGATGAATATTATCACTCCTGTGCTCGGGCTAGTAATCGTAGTTGTTCACTTTCAGAGATTACCACAGTACAGGTTCTCATTCGCAATCAGAACGCTCAGTTTTAGTCGTCGATGTGAATATGAAATTCTTGTGATGTGCAGGTATAATGATCAAACGTTATTGAGACGAGCGGGAGTTTTCTCTTATCCAGTGAAGTGATGAACGAAGAGAAGCGATGTACATCTTATTGTCATTCATTGATATCTTCTTGGGCGAATTTCTGTCATAGCGCCCCTGTGTTATTTTCATCGTTGGAACTCGGGGAAAGCTGAGCAGGGGAAAAGAATCACTGTAATTGGTCAATTTCAGTGATTCTATATATTTCAGTGATTTCAGTATAGAATCGAGCTTACTTAGGAGAAACCTGAGCGTTCATAGGTAGATTAGAAGATTTTGATATGGTCCGAACACTACTACGATAAAACATTACATCCGTCCAATTTTGTCACCACCAATTCTATCATTAATACGCCGAATTACGGTACACAAGTTTGTCACCACCACTTCTCACACGCTTGTATAACACATTAAAAGTAGCGAATGTTTGTATGTCTATTGCAGTCCTGGTTCCACACGCACCGTCAAATAGAGGTGACAAGATACTCGCGCTACTTGTCCAGGTATGCGAAAGGGCCGTTGATTTGCAATTTGAAAACAGAACATACTCAGATCCTGTGGTTGTTGAACCGCGGCAGCAGGCCAAGAAGTCGTTGCTTGGCCAACGTTTCCAAAAAACAGGTCTTGGAAAACCCAGGAAAGAACGACTATACCCAACTGTCCTGCGTTGCTGGTTACTTTGTGCAGGAAACAATTCCTCTGCTGGAGTCTAGAAAACGTAGTGTGGAAAGTAGCATCCTTGAATTCTGTGTGCCAGAGAAGCCCGTTTGATCCATTGGCCAGCATTGCGTCTCTTCTCGGCCATGGTCGCCGGGCTTGGTTTGAGTGTTCTCGGAGGAGTTTTACGGCAGGAGGCTATTTTGTTCTATTTACCAGCAGAAGTCGGCAATCTCTCCAAGTGGTCTCCGAGCACCTGGCGTGGCGTCATGGTAAACCACTGGTGAATGTGTAGCACCACTGCAGTCTCCACATACTTGAGGGTGGTTGACTGAATTACAGGTCCAGCCATAAGCGTTCTCGTGGGACATCGGCCACAAGCAAACGAGAAAAGTGTAACTCACCTTTCGTACGTTTCGGGGCCTCTGAGCCAAGAGCATCAGCGCACCAGAGATGTCCTCTCATCTGCAATCACTTGAGTCGTCAGTATGTGCAAAACAACGTTCGTGGGTCCAACATTGATGGTTGCAGAGACTCCGGAGGCTCAACTCCACAAGCTCTTTTGGGATGGTTGATTAGAGTGGCAGTCGAATGAATTTCCACAGACTCGGCGCACGACAATCTTGCTCCTGCTGGCTCCGACTACCCCGAAGCAGTTGCTGAGTTTGTGCTAGCTTCGGGATACTACCTGGCCCACCGCCAGCCGAACCGGTTTTGTGATCCCGAATTTCTGAAAGTTACTGAATATTTCTGCTTCACGCGTCCCATCTCCCAACTTTCCTGAAGAAGGTTATGGATGCTTAGATCGGGCTAATAAATAATCGGAATTGAATAATAACGGCTACATGAATCGGGCTACACATCGACCAATTTATTGGCTCCAACCCCGGCCAGTCCGTGAACCCCATATCTCCACTACATATACCACCTCCGAGCCACTTCCAGCTAATGCGATCGAAGCCTGAGGCGACGCGGTGGACCGGGACGAAACGATCGACGTCCTGTTTTCTAAATCTAGCAGACGAGATTTCAGTGTTCAGACTCAGAGACTTCAGAACGCACGTCGTGCACTCGTGATAGCTCTTGATAAGCCCTTCAGAACACACGAGCCAATTCTGTACCGGGAGAACCTCCTGCTCCTTACCTGTAGCTTCCTCCGTGCTCAAGTCTACAGGGTCCCATCGGGCGTATCATATACAAAAAACCGAATATATTGGCCGACACATTTTCACTCGAACTAATAGAATGCGTCAGTAGGAAGAAAAAGTGAAAAGGACACATGTAATAATTTCGCGAATAGACAGAATAGATAAGCCTCCTAGTTGAGAAATATTAATTCACGGCGGCCGAGGAAGGCGCCAAAGTTCGCTCGCCAAGTTGGTTGCATAGGACGCAGTACAGATCTTAGTGGCAGTACAGTGAGCTGGACAACATGAGCTCGCTGACGTGCGATCGTAGATCATGGATTTGACGGTTCCACCGCTCCTGCGAACAGAAACCGGTTCGGGTCCCACTATGCTCTGGTTCCACCGGATATTGACTAGATCGGCCCTTGATTTAGGTCCTTACTTAAACCTAGACTTACCAAAACCCCATTGGCAACAAACTCCATCTACCTACCCTCAGCGGACACGTTACTTGCTAAAGAGAAAATCGACCACTAAAATATTTGATACTTTATTCGCGGAAAATGAAATACACCGCCACGATTCAAACGCCTCTTAGTCCTTCATTCCCATTCACATGCGTCTGAGAAGATCTAATCGAATCGTCGACTGAAGAAGCCTTCCGGAAGCCTAGATCAAGATTACGGCTGCTTAACTTGGTCTTTGGGTCAAGTTAACCGAACCTGTAGAGAGTGCGAGGGTGGTGTGGTGTACAAGGCTTGGGGGGCAATGAGATTAACGAAGCCGGAATGCGGGTGCCGAAGCTCACGGCTCGGAGCGACGCGTCTCCCGAACCTTCAAGGGGCGAACAAATACATCCATGGGAGCACGGCTGCAGGCATTGGGAACGAAAGATTGCCTCGTGCAGAAGGCGCCCTGTGGGAGGCCTGGGGCCTCGACGAAGACGAAGGACTAGATTTGACGAGGAGAAGTTTGGAAACCGGCTGCTTGATCGATCGATCGTCGGTACTAGGTTTACGATTCCGAGATAGTTAGATCAGTGCCACTGCCAGCGATTTTGCGCGAGCCAGGAAGAGCGAGAGGAAGAGAAAGCGTGTTCTCTGTGGGAGCTTGTTGAGTTGAAATTACTTGATTCCCCGGGGGAAGCAGTTGATTTCACTCTTTTGCGTCTGTGTTGTAGCTGGAGAAGGCAGAGGGTTATCGGTCTCGTGTCAGAAATGACGAGAGGTAATCAAAGGGATCGTGATAGGGAGCGGGCCGCAGCGCGAGCTGGAGGCTCTAAGGCTAAGAATAAGGAAGACGGTCTGACTCCGGAGCAGCGCAGGGAGCGCGACGCCAAGGCCCTGCAGGAGAAGCTGGCCAAAAAAAGTTCTCAAGCTGGGGGAGCCACAGCCGCCCCACCCAACCCTAAGTCAACGAAAAAATGAAAGGGTTTTACAGGTAGAGGGATGTCGCCCTTGTGTTGTGACTTGTGTGATCAGTGTGCCTGCTCTCATAAGCTCGTTTAGACGAGCGGTGTGAATCTCCTTTCTAGTGCATCATCGTCAGGTCAACTATGTCCGAACGTTACTACCGCTGGTTTGAAAAAATTCTACACCGGCCAGCTGCGAACAGAACTGTCACATGTGAGCTACGTGTTCGCGTGTCCATTCCAAAGTCTACTTAGCTCTCTCCTCGTGTGTCTACTGGAGTTCGTGGATTAGAACCCAATCGCTTCCTACCCGAAACGAAATTATACAATTGGTGCATAAATTCCACTTTCCCAAGTGTCGACTGGAAACTATTGCTGTATCTGCACATTTTCGGACGGCATCCCGAGGTCTGAAGACTTCCGCACCGTACCCCTGATTCTGTGCTCCGCGCACCTCGTTCTTCGACCACCATCCCGGAGGCATCACATGTGAAATATTCATGTTAGAAAGACGCTCCGTTTATGTTCTCTGTGAGCTGAGGAAGCTAAGCATATTCTCACCTTGAAACTTGCATGGCTTTCTGAGTAGTCCCAGAGACCAGCTTTAACGCTTGAGCTGAAAGATATGAATAGCATTCGTGCCCCAGCTTGTAACGAACTGTGGTAGGCTCTTCGCCGCTGATCAACTTGATGGAAACCGCACTAACCGCCAGTAGGGAGTGCTGAAAGATGTTACATAGTATTCCAGCCAGTGGTAACTGACGGTGTCCTGCAATTTTCGCAGGCGTTGTGGCTTTAATATACTAGTACTGGACCTGCGTGCTTGGAGCGTATACATCTGGTGATCATGAACGAAGTAGGAGGTTTGAGAGCTCTTGGAAGCCTTTGAACTTCAGGGAACGGAATCGCCAGATGCCACTGTTGGCACTTGAATTGGATTGGCAAGGTTTCTTTCACTAGATTCTTCTTTACGATTAAGGCTAAATCTGAATCTTGCGACTTTGAACCAGACTTTCTCAGGAAAGGCTCCATTCTTTGTCTCAGCATCATGAAGGGGAGTAATCTTCTGCGCAAGCATTGATACGGCGAGCGGTTCATCTCGATGAGAAGATGATGTGCCATCCAGTACGGAGATAGTGCACCTCGTTGTACGTTTTGTCATTATCTATTCGGAACCTTTTCCTGCACTGTCCGTCAGCTTCACATCAGTCGCCTGTATGGACATACTCCTTGGTAAACATGGTATATGCTGCTCTCTCGGCTCAACGCTGCTGAACAGTTATGTTCAATTTGAGTGTCGGAATGCTTGTACTAATGTACCGTCATTTTCACATGTAGTTTTCTCCGATTCTAGACTAGATGCACTAGTATCCATACAACAGTCGCCTTCAACTTGTCCGCTGCTTGAGGTCATGTCAAGTTGTTTGTGGACAGTAGTCCTACCTTTGCTTCGTGTGCGCAACATGCAAGCCCGCCAAAGTCATTGCAGACTTCGATCAATGTCGGCCTTGCCCTTGATCAAGAAGCGTAGCCCGCAGCTACTTTGTCTCTTGTAAAAGACGCCCGAACGGTGATCGTACAAATTGACTCAGTTGTAAGCTGTTGAACATACGGAATACAAACTTGTCTTCTCTGAAACATGAATCATCTCTGCATATTAAAGAAGTGCAAACCAGCTGCCCAGATAAGTGTAGCCTTGCATGTGTTGCGCACAGCAATACTACGTGCCCTTGACCTAGAGTTACGATGACGGAGAGTGAGAAAGTACATGGAAACTAGTGGGCGGAGTGAAGTGTCCAATATTAATGTCGAAACGGTTTTGAGAAATGTGGCACTGAGAAGGCTATGTGTAAAAGTGAAATGGTGATGTATTGGCAAGGATGATTGAGTACACGGTAATTTCCCACATCAAGCTTTTGATATGATCCAACAATAACCTGCAATAGAGAGACGAAGCAAGTGACATACATTAGAAGAAACACAGGCAATCGTGCACTGTTCTACACGACTTTTGTCTTCAAATACACATTCTCCACTAGCGACTTGACAACACCCTGCCCACAGTATGAGCGTGCATGACGCCTTCACCACTAACGGTGGTGGTTGGAGACGATGAACAATAAATCAACCGAACTGCAGACCACAGAGACCAATACCTGGAGAAACAACAATTCTCTCTCAGCCCGAAGTTGTTCACAAAATCAGACATGTAGAATATTATTATTTGGTCTAAAGTCTATCGAAACTCAGCAGCTGAAAGGTGTCTCCGATCAAAACAGCCTGGACAAACTGATGAACAGAGCTATACCTTGATATACGACAGTTTTAGACTAACTAAATCATAAAATATTACTACTTATAAGAATTATAGTTCAGCTGAAATCCGATATCTAACAACTTCTATTCACAAAACACTCAAAAATTATCGAGTAAATTTTTATATCAGAGTTTCAGATCTCCAACTCCTTATTTATAAACTTCTTACATTATTGTATTATTATGTAATTTAATTTCCTTCAAAATTATAACCTAACCGTCATGAATAAATTTTACCAGGACGCTAAAAACGGTTAAAAAATCAACGCTAAGTACGCTTACAAACTCATAAGCTAGGAAAGTCACTGTGCTTAATCTTAAACCAGGGAGAATATCTCACGTACGAGGACGTGAGAAGCTTGTCATCCAGTTCAGTGACTTGGCCACGTGATATCGTCTTTACCGTTGTTCAGACCTTACGTCCAGCCTAGCCACGTCACAGCGCGAAACACCGAGAGTATACTGCACTACCGTACACACTACGTCTGCATATCCAGTAGAACTTTTCTGCACGGAGGCAACACAGTCAGCACACTGTGGCCGTTTCATAACGTCGTTGCCTCTCCTTATGGAATCTGGAAGACCCGGCGGACACAACTCCTCCTCCTCCGGTCTAAGAGGCAGTAGCACGTCTGTGCATGTGATCCCGCTGCGTTACATGCACGTCTAAACCTCTCCCCTTCGTCCCGCATATGCATGGCAGTGATCTCACCTGAATCTAGAGTTACGCCTTCTTCCCTTCGTGGCTAGACCTATCCGTTTAGACCGTCGGAGTCACCCTCCCTCTACACTATGCCTTATCATCACGAGGAATTCTTGGACTCGCAGATTTCGTTGTCCATACAGAAATTCGACTCCCTGTGAATCAACGTTTCTATATCTCGCAGTAGGTAGCACTGAGGATAAGCAGCTCAAAGGCAGTTCGAGCTGCTTTCCATTCATGTTGTCCCTAGGCCTCAGTGGATTTATCCCAAAGACAATAAATAGGCGTGTCTCACGGTGCCCCTACAGCTCGGAACTACTCTGCAGGCCTCCATGAGTTTATAGGACTTGAAGGTTATCTCTACCAGGGCTACCGGCTTCGGATGCACATCTTTGATGCATTAGTCCGAGCCCCTCATTGACCGCATCTTGTGTACGAGGCATGTCTTCGGGGCACGTCTTCCGTGTCTTTCACGATACAGATTTGTGGACGCTTACTCGAGGACTCGTTGCTTAAACATGTGCATATTCTCCTCCTCGCCTCGTGCAGGTCCTCGCTGGTCGGATTTGGAGTTCCCCAACGCACTGGGTTGATCCACTCTCGCTGCTGTGACAGACTGTCAGTAAGAGGAGTGTGTTTCTGATCATGTTGTCAAGTAGCACTTTCTCGAACGTTGCAATCTCTGTTCGTGTCTGGGATGATGTCTTTACTTCTTCTGTGTGGGCCATGTCTTCGTCTCTTGAAGAGAATTGTCTTCAATGTCACCAATCATTAGGACAAGAAGTATCTGCTTGTACCACTCACAATCTTCTGACAAAAGTGTGCAATTTCTCGAACGCTTCTTACGTCGCTGGACTCTTTTGGGGAAAGCATGTTCAGTAGGCTGATGAGCAAAGCCCAGAGCCCATTATGCATTGTGAGAGCCATCTGGATCCTGAAATCGAGAGGGCTTCACTGGACTATCCACTGGAATCAATGCTCCACGGCAGCGTTGTCCACTTGCAGTATCTTTAACAGGGAGATCTCCACTCAGTGACAGGCATCCCACTTTAGAATTTCGTATTGATGGATGATCGAAGAAATATATCGCCGCATGCCAGAATCTGTTGTGGCCCATTTGTGATTGAAGCACGTGTCCAGCTCGATTGTTTTATTTCTACTGCGTCTGGGGAACTCAACACACCTGTGGCAGCCGTTTCCTCCGTCTATACTGTCCTGTTGAGTATGTTACTGGAGACACGTTGTGATTCTGAAACACTGAAGCTCCAATCTAGCTTGTCCTTCAATTAACATCAATCAACATTGACCTTTCGCTTTCGGTATCACTTCGTGCTGGTTGTCATCTTTATCTGGTGGTTTTACTGAATTTGAGCCATTGAGCGCCACATCTACGTACTGAAGATTTTGTCACCTAGTACTGACTCTACCACCATCCTTCCTAACACCCTTTCTGAGTCAGAGCTCTTTCGAAAGGCTTCCTTGTCGTCGGAGCTACTTTCTTTCCGGCTTTTGGGAGGAAAGATATACCGTAAGCTGACGCTGGTAGAAGAAGTCACGGGTAACGGAAACAGAATGAGAAATACGCTGTGAAGAGGATTTAAGACCTTTGATGGGTGCTTGGATGCATATGACCGAAACTAGCTGCTTCTTTTCTGTAGAATCACACGAACTCAGTTAATCCGAAGTTCAGGTTTTTCCTTCATCGGGTGATAACTTTGACGTTGCGCTGGTTACGGTAGAAGAAATTAGTTTGACGAATGATCAACACTAAGTCTGCTTTTGATGAGATTGTCGGGAAAGTAGCGCAAGGTGCTTAAGTATGATTCACTAATAAGCGAGTTGCCTTCCACGTAGGCAAAAAATTGCACACCTGGTCCCACAGGTTTGAAGAGTATGCCTTCCATTCTTTCCAACTTTCGATGAAGTCACGTACTTCAAATATCTCCGTTTCTACGCACTGCATTTCTCTACCTGTTTTCATTGCCAACCTACGCTTGGATCGTACATCTATATCGGCATCTAAATGAGCTTCGGAAGTCCGTCTTGCTTGCGTACCTCCATGTGTGTTCTCTAGGGGTGAGTTTTCCTTGCCCAGACTTTCACGGTTAGTACCATCATGTATCTTCGAAAACGCTAAAGTTTCCTCTGCATCAGCAGAAGATTTTAACTTCATGATAGATCGTCTGAAATGGTGAAACTGGATCACCTGCCGAAGGAGAACAAAGTTTAAATCTTTGTTTGCTTTTGACTGATTTAATTTAAAAATCAGGAGAAATGAGCAACGAGGGCAGGAAAGAATACAACGCAAACAAAACTACGGAATTTGAGGTCTTCTACTTTTCTGTTAAATCTCACCTGCAAAGCGTGCATCATATTTGAAAATGTGCAAGGCACTTCTTCGTGCCTGTACAAGATGCCCACAGGCCGATCCTGTTCATCGCCAGAGTAGTTTGAAGAAAAACTGCATGTAAACCCTAGGCGAGCCATACGACCGAGACGAAGATCATCAACAGGACGTTCTTCTGCGACTTCCGACTTTTCATCTGAACGTTCATCTTGCTGAACGCTCCCATTTAAGTTGTACATGATACTAGAAGCAGAAACTGGAAGGCCCAAAGTGAGACCACCTGGGCGCAGAGAAGCCACGTATCCTACTGTCAGCAATATTTCAAAAGCTTGTGCAACATAGAGGAATAAAAAACCATGTTCACATTAAATGGCAACGAATATGTAATACTTCTTCTTAGAGCTGAGAAGTATTACAATTGTTCTGAATTCGGCTAAGATGTTTCAGGAGACAAGTAGTGAACCCTCTGCTAATCATTCTGCGTTACCTTGTTCTAAGATTTGGTCCGACATGACGCCACAGAAGTTTGAGCTCAAGGCAGAGAGTTGCTGGATCAGTTTCTCGTCCTCATCATGTGCTTTGTTCAGTGTGAACCACAGAGCGAGCGTGCAGCGCTCTCCATCTGTTATCTATTTGTTCTTAAGACGGTAAAAGGTCAACCAATCAGAATAAGCTCACAATTCTCTATTTTCACAATCATTGAAAAAGACAACTTACTGACACATGTGTGAGTGTCCAAGTTATGAGTAAGCTGTCTCGAACATCTAGCATCGAAAGTCATTGGTAAAATCGGACAATGTTCGGGCACTGAGCCTTGAGTTCTGAACGGTAAGATATCCTGCCTTCAAAGAACATCTAGTAGATATGGTGTAGCTACAGAATAAAAGAAGCGACCTACCAAACTAAATGCCTTGCATAGAAAGATGATCAATTGAAAAAGCGAAGGAAATATTGGACTAAAAAATCCGAGAGCCCTGATGGATTCCCGTGAGCTTAGACGTTCAAACATTCCTGTTTCGGTTCCATGCAGGCAGGAGTTTTAAGCCACACCTCATCAACACAGTGCATGTTTTTCTCGTCTGCTGTGTAGATGACAACAGTCTGTTCACAAAACGATCCACAAGTTTAACTTCGACGGATGTACTACCGTGCTCTGATTAAGTTCATTCCGTAACGATTACAGCTCCCGAAAGAAAACAATAACGGGATTTGAAGATTAAGTTTACGTACCCCAGCAGATGGAACTACCGTCTGTGGATCACCTTCTTCAAAATGGAAAAGACCTCCTTTGAAATCCTCTTCATAATTGTTCAAATAACAAACTGCCTGCCACGATTGTCCTACTATAAGGAACTGAATTTAAAGCTACCTCCAACTCAAAAGCCCTCAAAATCCCATTCCAAAGATCAACAAATTCACCATACGTGTTTTATACTATGAGAACGAAGGCTTTTAAGCCTTCCATTTCCTCTACGTCAACGTGTTTATAGTACATCAGGTCAACGCAATCAGACAAATGTTGCAGACCGAGAAGTGCCGCTGCTTTAAGTAGGGTCTGTTGTCATCACTATGCCATCCAATCTTGGCTCCCTTAGTCCAGCTGCAAAAGTGAAGGTAAACTTCATCTGACAGTCAGTCTGGAGACAAAGTCAGAGAAACTGTTACAAATCATAAGAGTCTGACAGGCTGAAACCATTGAATTAGGCAAAATCACCTTGTGTAGAATCACATAGTTTAGAATTGACAGATGTCAGAGTGAAAATAAATTCGAAACTCTTTGCTGCTGGCAGTAAAGAGTTATTAACCTCAAACAGAGGCCTAACAAACTTCAAGATAATTCTAAAATAGGATCTTAGAAATTACGCGATGCACTCATCAGAATAAATGTCGATACAGAGATTTCTTCCAGGTTGGATGCAAACTCAGCAAGGTTTCAGCGGTAACAATGCTACAAGAGTGCATAGCCTAACGTGAAAATTCATCTAAGGATAGTAACAAGAATGAAAGCTGCAGAAACACAAGTTTAGCCAATACAATATGCAAAAATGGGAGCAGAAGCGCAAAAACTACCAAAGATGACCCAGCTGGAAACAATTGTCAAGCATAAGGACCTAGAGAGAGTATCATAATAATAAGAACGAACAGTGCCGTTAAGGAACTACAAGCACGGAAAAATCACTGATCAGAGTGAAAGTAGGAAATTTCGTCGCAAGAAGACTTGTTCGGTCTGATGTAAGTGGTCTCGTCAAATATTAATATGGAAGATGAGTACTATACCTGATCAAGCCAGTGAACTCGGTGAAAAGTTCGTACTCGCGACCAAAGTGCTCCTCCACAATTTCCTTCACCTTTTCTGAGATTATAGGGGTTCAGTTGCAGATATTCAGTCAGTTGAAGAAGTCCACTTTGAAAATTCCTCTACGTGCGGTCTATTTCTCGTAGCCGAACGGTCAAATTCGGCTATGGAAGTCTTTGACTATACATACATTGCAGACTTTGAAGTGCACAAAAACATCATGTTACCAAATGCCTGGTTACCAATACAGAAGGTACGAAGGTTCCTCCAGTTAAGATGTATCTTCAGGTTTCCACTGTCTAAGATTCAAGTCTGAACGCAGGGATTTATGCTCAGAAAAGCTACAGGTGGTATAAGGTAGGATTATTGAGGAAGATGAAAGGCACTGAGACGAAATACCTCGAATGGGGAGTATAGGCAAAATGAGATTAGCACAGTTGGTAGCGACTAAATGACAGAGTGTAGTGGAGAGCACCCAAGGTCGATATCCAACAACGCCACAACTTTTGTGGATGAATTCGAGTTCCTGTGAGTGACAAAGAAGACACACGCCCGTTTTGACGTTTAATTTTCAATATATGTCCTGTCAGGGCGAAAAAGTCCTATAATCAGACTGAAAGGAAAAATATGCAGTTAAAGGGGCAAGGGGTTTTAAGGTAAAAATCGTAAGCACAACTTGCAGTCAAGATGAATGCATTGGTGGTGGCTTTTCTGATAGAGACTACCAATGAATGCCACAGTGCAGAGAACGCAATTCAACGAGCTGCTAAGGGAGAAAATGCTTCGAAAATCTGGGCGGATATCATCGGTTTCAGCACTCGGACGACAAAGATTGAGGCCAAAAATGTCCGAGGTGTACTTTATCTGACCTGCTCCAGACCCGACTACACTTAATTTCTCTTCTGTATGCTGTTTTGTGCAAGGAAAAAGCTACACTGTCCAGCTCCTATCCCTCGACACAGTTCAATTGTGTGAATTACCAATCCCACATCTCCGCTTCTTCTCGATACCAGTGACTGAAACTCAAATTCTGATGAGACAAAACAAACCCAACCTCTGACCTTGCATTCTGCAGGAGAAAGGAGCTGCGGCAGCACAAGACGTCGTGCTCCGGCGAAGTCGTCCATTTTCGCCAGCCGACGATGACATCCGATCAAATCACAGGCTCTGAGCCAGTCCCATTTTCAATTCTACTGCCTGGTGGAGCGACTCCTGACTGTAGGAACCTCTCCTAAGCTTGAGAATTTGCTCACAGGACACATATACTGAAGATCGAAGGTACAGAGCAAGTAAATTCCAGCATATTTTTATTCAGACCACGATGATGTATGATGCAATATCGTTGTAGGTTAATTAAAATTTAATCTTTTTGGAAACAAGCTAATTCAGAATTGAAATTCTAATCTCCTTTTTCTCCAAACCAGTGGATTTTTATGGAGACTCATTTCTTTTGTTATGTACGGTATTTCTTATTTCTTCTAGATTCATATTATAGCTTATCACATGAGAAAGTCAACTTTCTTATCCTGTTTCATTTTCTAATATCATTGCCAAGATCAATTGCATCCATGTTAAACTATATCAGTGAGCTTGTTGTACCTTTATCAATAATTTAATAATAATTATCAATTATTACTTTTGAACCGTACTTTTTGTCTCAACTTCTTTGATATTATTTTTTCCGCGTATAGAGAAATGGAGAATGAGATTATTTTGGGCTACCATCTCTAACGGTTGTCTGGTGTGCTCATTTGCATCTGTCATAGAGATTATGTCATGGATAGACGGGTTACGCTTTCAACGAATATTATATATTGACTATAATTACTACCCACACGTAGCATGTGTCGAGGTTGTACGTATGTTGCATTTGCTACTTGGCATTTGGTAAAGTTCACTCTGATATTGCTGTTTGATTCTTCTAGCTTCTTGGCCAATTTTATCAGGCTAGAGATACAACAAGAACTGTAAATTTTTCCCCCAAAAAAATTAACTAAATGGGTAAAATCAACCTTGATGTACCAGTTATTTTAACATGCTTCATGATTAGTTTAGTATATATGGCATTTTTGTAATGTATATAAATGTTTACGCTCTTCCAACTTGCTACTATTATTCTGTATAAAAAATGAGGTTTTGTCTTTATTTGATCTATTGTTCTACAATGTCATTGCTCAAGCATATTCTTTATGCAACAAATGTTTGCATGACATGATTCCTAACTCGTTACTTACTTGACGAGGAGAAGTTAGTTATATAGTATGCATAAGAGATATGACGTTTAGCATTTAACATAGTTCCTAGAGGTTTTTTAATATAATTGAGCAAGAAGATGAAGATGCCTACACTAATGATCTTCAACCAATCCAGGAGACATCATATGATCTAAATCTTCTCTTATGTTCTAAGGAGAATTTGTACGTGTGAGGTTACTGTCATGTATGCCATTAAGTGGATTTTGATTTTGAAAAGCTAGTTGTACTCCTTGCAGTAATGAGTTAATACGTGGAAAAGACTAAGCTTGAAATGTTCGGAATTGACGCATGAAGATACAAGTGTGTTTAGTTTCACCTCACAGCAAGACGACTTACTTCAACATTTTTTGCCCTGGTTTATTCAAGAGTCATGGATTTTGTTGACCGCTAAGTGAATATGGAAGATGTTAATAAAAGCTCTATGCCCTCGGACCATGCCAACGACTTTGACAAGAATTTCAAACATGCGAGGAAGGATATTGTCTTGAACGCCATTATCCATCAGAAAAAGGTAATGGAGTACATTGTCGTGGAGTAATGCATAATTACAATGGAATATATGTATTATCATCCTGGTGTGTTCTGCATTGGCAAAATTTTAACTCTCAACCCTCATAGCCGATTGTTAAACGTCTGTATGGAATGAATGCTCATCTAGAAAAGAAACATTTGAGCTTGTGTGATACAGTCCAATATCTGAATCCTTCGAAAATATTTATCCGATATGGTTTTTACCTCGACTAGCTTGGTTAGAGAGAGCTATATGCTCTCACACAGATGTTGCAATGCTCATTTTCTTCATTTCAGCATTATCTGATTTATATTGTTTGATAACTATTTTTATTTATTTATTTTTGAAAAAAATATCAAAGCTGATGACTATTTTAAAACAAGATGATGAGGTTTGTTAAAAGTAAGGGTTGTGTTCAATATAAATCACGCTGTGAAAAAAAATGCTTTTACCTTGATGGCAATAAAATGATTCCATTAGAACCTCTTTTTTTTGAGGAGATCTGATTTTTCCGGCAGACAAAAGACTTTAGATCACATGCAAAAATGATTTTAGTATTTTGCAGAACAATATTAGGTGAACCTGATCGCCTGACGCTTGGTAACTTAAGCTAACCAACATATAGATTAGCAAAATAGTTTCAAATCGATATATATAGCAACCATGATTTCCAAATATAACATAATGTCTTTTATGCTAAAAGCTTATGTCTTATTAGTCTTTTATGCTAAAAGTTTTAGCCATAAGTTGTTCAAGTATTTGGTGCTTTTCTATAGCATGTATACCTCTAATTATATCATCGAGTATATAAATATTGCTTTGTATGAAACGATAGCACACTAAACAACATGAATATAAGATTTGTATATTTTCTTGGGAGGGGCTAGTTATCCCTTAGTTTAGACTAATTAGATCTCATCATAGTCTAATGCTCCCATGCTCTCCAATACTTCTCCCTTTTCCCTGTACCCGCGAAGATCATATTCCATGTCTGATCCTATCTTTGCATGGTCTCGTTGAATCACATAGCTCTGTATAGTAGATTGAGGGCTAATTAGACTTTTGGCTAGATCAATCCCGACCGTATCCCATCCAGGCTAACGGCAAATGTACACTATTTGCGGTATCACCGTCATCCAAGATTTAACATTCGCGCTCTCTTTTTTTCATCCAAAATTTATGTGTTGGAACTTCAGGAAACAATCACAGAGCTTCCAAAATTCAATGCAAAGCAAACTAGATTGATATTACTCGAGTTCGCAAGCAAGCCAAAAATGTCTGCACAATTTTATTGTTGCGTGTGTAGGGTCTCCATGGTCCTTAAACAAGATCACCGTCATTAAGGATTTCACCGTCACCGTAATCCAGGGTATAACATCTTGCACACTTTCATTCTCATCCAGAATTTTTGTCTGGAACTTCACAAAAATGTCACGAAACTTCTGAACTTCAATGAGGAGCAAGCTAGATTGAAATCAATTGATTTCGAAAGCAAACCAAGAATGCCTGCACGAGCTCGTTGTTGTGTGCATTGAGTGACAAGGTCTTCATGTCCTTAAACAGGTTTGCGTACAAGATTGCACAAGAATTTTTCTCGGGGTTTAGAGTTGAACCTCTTCTTGGATTGCTCCCGTTAAAGAGTATCTATTATACATACAATCAAACTATATTGTGTCCGTGTCAGACATGAGATCAAGAACAAAGAGGAGATTGGAAATTTGAGAAGATTATCATTGTTACCATACGCAAATTTGAGGAGAGTGCCATTGTTGTTGTTTGCGAGAGTTATCTTGTTGAATTAGACTATATACTCCTTGTTGTTGAGGAACCGCTCTTTGATTGTGTTCAGGTACAAAAATTATCAAAGAGTATGATAAACTTCAGTTTAAAGTGAGAGTATGTTTGCGTAGTAGATTCAGGTCTGCCTTATATGTTGGTTGTAGTTGATCACTTTGTGTGTATTAGAAAATTGTTTCACTAAAGGAGTAGCACTGGAGTTTCCAAGTTTTCGTCACATATTCATTTTCATTCTATTTCTTCTTGATTAATTTGATCAAGTTCAAAGTATTATAGATTCTTTTTTGTAGATTTGATGAAGTTCAAAGTATCTCTATTTTTCTTGGTTGATTTGATGATAAGGGTTTAGGCTTATGAATATACTGATTGTGAGTTTTTTGTTTAGGATATAGCTTATGTTAGATTTTGCACATGGATATACCTCAACGCAGCTAGGAGCTAAAGAAAAGGAGAGCTTTTGTTGTTTGCGGAGGCAACCTCCATGGCCACATTTATCCTATCATGATTTGCTTCTAGTTTTTTTTTTTAATGGATATTTGTGTCACAATGGATAATAGAAGTCATGTTTAATCACCTCCTACATGAATATTCCATGCAGATGCTTTGCAATGGGTTTGAGATCTACATCATTGGCTTGTGAAGATAGTTCGTATTCTAAATGAAAGGTTAGACAATTTTGTGGATGGTGAAGGCAGAAGAATTATAAAATTTGAAGCAACCTTTTGGAAAAGACAAACCAATGATATATGAGATCCCAAAACTGCTTGGAAAAAAATGATAATTTATTAGTGTGCTTTTGGACCATTTAATCATACTTCTCGGATTCCAGACACGAAATCCAATATGAGCACCTATACAGCTCTCGATATAGGTGACAATAGTAGACCACAGTCAAGAAAGATAAAATGAAAAGAGTATGAATTTGTAAATTTATTGTTACATATTACAAATCAGAACCTGATAGTGAAGTCAAATATTATAGACAAAGATAAGAGTATTTTGTTTGAATGTTTTTACAGTCTGAAGTAGTTGGTGTATATGTTATCATTATGCAATTGTTATTTCATGAATATGAAATAACAATTAACTTAATGTTAACTTGATGTTTACATTTGTGTTGCAAGAATTATTGTAATGATAAAGACTAAAGGTTTCACGAAAGAATTGCAGAAAATGAGGTTGTTCCTTGGAATCCAAAGTGTGCATATGCTTCACAAATTACAAACGAGCTCAAACAAAACATAGAGCAACTATTCACATGAGATTAGACTATTCCACAAGTTTATGACATGCATTTAAAATAACAGATTCAAGTATGAGGTACTGATTGTACTTTCAATGATACTGCTACTCTTTCATTGTCCATAGGAGGAGCTAAAGATGACACGATTCATTTGAAAGATTTGCACAACATAAAAGCAAAGGTGGCAAGGAAAACTTATATGTTTCATGAAAAAAATCAATAATTTGTGCAGGTTTGGATTAATGTGCATCCTCATTTTGTGCTTCTACATCAAAAGTATATATCTGCAAATCAGTTCCAAAATTTCATGTTGATTCTTCAATCCAAATGTCAGTTAGGTATGATGATTCATTACTCTCAAAATAAGCTTCTTGCGTTAGACATCACGTTTGCGACAAACAAATATGACGTAATTTTTGTTTCAATTGTATTTTGTGTTGTTGAACTTATTTATATAACAT